ATGTGGCCTTTTATTAAATTAAAGGAAAAACCCAAAGACTCAAAAACAATGGAATTGGCCACTGTTTTTTCATTTGTTCTCCCGTGCACACATGATCTTATATATGCTTTTTCTTCTTTTTTGTTGGTGACAGCTGGTGTATATATCATGTATGTTATGGCACTATCGTCGTGGCATGAATAATATTTATACAACTGTACGTTTCATGTGTTTTTGTTTTTAAAAGTATATACTGTATGTTATTAATGAGCTTGTAGCTTAGTAAAATAAATATTTTATAGTTAGTGAGAGGCTGCAGATTAAATCCTACCTATAACTTTAGACTATTGTTTTTTTTTTTTTTGTAGCGACATTTTAGGAAGGGGGTTGGGATAACTTTAGACTATTGTTAGTGATTACTTCCTAATTTAAAAATGTATGAAAGCTAAGAAAAAAAATCAAAGGATAATTACAAGTAGATCCCGAGATCTATTTACATGTCAAATTCAATATCTTGCAAGTAGTTGAGAATTCAGGTAATAAATTTTTCTTTATTTGGGATATATATATTTAATCTTCGCAAGAATTAAACTATTTTCTATCTTGGCTAAAACATTGTGTGTGTGAGCTGATATATAACTACGTATTTATTTCAATTACATGTTGGCAAAAAATAATTATTTTAATCACATTGCTATTATAACATTCTCTGATGACATTACGTTGTATCATGAGAGTTAGCATTTAATTTAATTAGTTAACTTATTCGTTGATTGCATGAATTCGATTATGTTGAGAATATCCAGGTAGACATCAGATACATGACATTTTTATTCGTTTTAAAACGAGAAAAAGAAAAGACATCGAGTGGATTGCTTGAATCTGGGTGGTTTGAATGGTGCAACTTTTTGTTGGCCAAGAAAATTGGCACAACTTTTTCTGATTTGTTTAATTTAATGATTCATGATTGAAAGTTTGATTCTTCTTTGTTTCCCCTGCGAAAGAGTTTGTTTCTACCGACGAGCAGTTAAAAGACTGCTTTCATTAAGCTGTGTTCTATTTAAAACCCCCAAAAAAAAAAAAGTTGTCGATCCAAATTAAATTTGAAGGATCTAAATTTAAACACCTATTCAATCGTGAGACAGTTGACATTTCTTTTCCCTCTTACACTAAAACAAACTTTTAGTTGCCGGCCCAATAAAAATGATTAAGGTAGATTTCAAGCGTTGGTCTGTTTGGTAAGAATATGAAAAAACTAATGCTAGGGATATTATTGAATAACTTACAGACTTTAAATAATAGACAAGCCCGAGATCTGGTTGTCTTGCAACGCTGGTGACAAATACTACTTTCGGTTCTAATTATAAGAACCAGTTAATTAATTTGAAGAGATTAAGGAAATAAAGTGAGTTAGTTATTTGTTCTAAATAGGTGTTGTATTTCCTAAAATATCCTTGCTGATCAAGTGTATTGACTAGAACTATAATTATTAGAAGGACTATCTTAGAAAAAATTGAGTAAATATAAAAGACAAAGTGGATTGGGGTCTTATATTTAAGACCAAAACAAAAATCAAACAGGGTCTTATATTAAGGACCGGAGGTAGTATATATATAGATATCTACACACTATATCCAATCTTTAATATAAAAATTAATTATTAAGCTAGTTATTTGTAATAAATAGTTGTTTTCTCTCTTATGATATCTTTATTAATAATCATACATACAAGTATCTTAGCTAAAATCACTATTTGATTGAATATTTAACATCTGAAACTATTATAATTAAATATGAGAGATAAAGTGAATTAAAATTTTATATTTAAAACTAAATTAAAAATTAAACTAGTTTTTATATTAAAGAATAAAAGAAGCGTATATATGCGTATTCACGTGAAAAACATGTTGAATTTTCATAAGCGGTAAAAAGTTATCCAGACGCAGTCTTAAAAATAACACCAGAAAAGGAATAGAAAATAACACGGGGGTAAAACAAGTTGGAATTTCCCCCAAAATCTAATTCATCTGGACCAATAAAAGAAAGTCTATTGAGGTTATAATGTACTTCCTTCGTATACGCAGGGTCACATGGGGAGGGAGCTTTGACTGATTTAGAATTCCAATTTCAAAGTATTCGATGGTTGATTATTTATAATTCATGATATTAACGGTAGCGTACCATAAATAAGAAGTACTCTTCTTATTCTATTTATAGTACAAAAAGAAAATATTTTTTGGTCTTATTTATAAGACATTGAGAGAAATTTTTTGTATAGATCTACAATTTTACCTTTTATTTATTAGAGAAAATTTCAAAAAAGTGACTGTGAATTTCAAAATGACAAATCAGGAATTACTACAAAAATATGTTATTATTTGCTTTGTAAGTGTAGTTATTTTCTTTATAAGTGTAGTAATCAATATTGATTTGTCATTTTAAAATTCAACAGTCACTTTTTTGGGATTTTCTTTATTTATTATTGTGTTGATTTTGTTTATATAATGTATAATGTATATTAAATAGGGATAAAGTTAAAAAGTCATTAAAATTTAAACAAGAGTTAATGAAGTTTAAGGTTTTTTTTTTATCTGTATGAAATATACTGAAAGTGTCTTATAAATAGGATTAGACGAGTATTTTTAATAATTAACTTGCGGTAACTTTATTCACACACAAAAAAAAAAAAACTTACGGTAACTTTTTTCTTTTGGGACCGAAACTTTATTTTACCGACGCACCGGTATCTTAATGAATTGAATAATCATGCTAAGACGATGATGTCGCTTTATTAATGTTTTTTTTTTTACCTGATCACTTTATTAATGCTGCATGATATACTTTGCAAATTAAGAAATCTTTATCTTCTTGCTTTGGTTTTGTTGCCATCTTTTTCTTTCCTGCTTCTGGAGGCTTAACCTACAAATCGAAGTGGGTGGCGAGTAATAATGCATTTTTGACTACCCCTTCTGATTTCTACGAATTAATTAATTCTATTTCATGTTTATAATCAAGAGAGTAATAATAAAATCCGACTAATCTGTTTACCGCCATGAGATGAAAGGGTTATCAAATAGTCCATGGCCGTAAAAAAACTTGTCACAATGCTCGATTATATGATTACATCTCCCTCCGTTTTTTTTCAAAGGTTAAAGAAGTCAAATTACTATTATTTTCAACATTCAACATGAGAGTTATGTAACCAACCTAAACAAAATAATTAAGTCAATTGCTTATAGTAAACATGAGTTGATTTTTTAAAAATATCATTTTCATTAAAACCCTTTAATATATGTAATTGATAAGACTATTTTGGATGGCCAAAAATAACTTTAAAAAGTGAATTATAAATTTCAAATACAAAGTAAATTAAAGTTTTATATTTAAAACTAAATTCAATCATTAACAAACTTTTATGCTAGAGATTGGGATTAGTACTAATTAGCCCGATAAGTTTACTCTATACTAAGAATTTAATGAAATGAAAGTATTGATAACATAGGGATATAATATATACATATATATATATATGTATATATGTGTTTGTCTGTCGGTATATAAAAAGGACGTATAAAATCAGGTAATTGGTGACTATTCTTTTTTTTTTTTTTGACACAATGGTGAGAGGCACAGGATTTATGAAAGCCGCCTGCAATCTGCACTATTCAGACATGTGTCTCTTGTCTCTTCTTGTCTAAATTTTTTACTGTGCTTGCAATTAGATAAGTTGCACCAATAATATTTTTTATATTTTATATATTTAAACCCTATTAATTAAATGTCAAGAATCTAAGTAATAGTAGTTAACTACCCTATAAAAATTAAATAATTTAGTTGTTCATAAAAATGCATATTGATTTTATTACCAAAAAAAAATGCATATTGATTTTTCTTATAAAATACATATTTTCTAATCAATACGTTGAAATATGATTAAATAATATAACCTCCACATGGTTTTTATTTAAAAAAAACTGTGGTTTATACATTACATAATAATCTAATTATAAAAAAAATCCAAGAAAAATTATAAAAATGAAAGACAACAAAATAATCGAAGTCTTATGTGAGAATGAAAACCCTCCCCAAGTCTTTGGCAATTCCCATATTTGGGTGCTAGAAGAGTCGTAAATGCCCGGCAGTCAGAATTCAATATTCATAATTGTCTCCACTTATTAGGGTAAGGTTCGAACAGTTAGTGGTCATGCTTTGTCGGAAACTTGATAAGGAGAAAATGACAATTTGGAACCTTTCAGAGGGACGACGATAATTGATAGTCCTGAAATTTTAAAATACCAGTTACGGTAAAGGGTATTTACTGATTTCTTTAAAAAAATAATATCACGAATCAAATGTTGGCCCAAAAAAAATCACGAATCACATGCTCTTTTTCGGCCGACTGAATCAAATGCCCTTATTCTTCCATCAGAACTAAAGCTAATTTTGGAAATCAGAAACTTAATGAGCAAAACCACAAAATTTAATTGTAAAAGATTGACTATTGGTCGGGAAAAAAAACTTTCATCTAACTAAGTCCTGCATAATTTATAATTTCTGCTTTCATATACTTTTCTCAGCAAACTCTCATCTTCTAATAATCAAGCTGTGCAGGTCTTTCGCATCATCTAATTTAAAAAATATTCAGAATTTTAGTTGACATGGGATGTTTTCATCACCAACAAATGATTTTAATTAACATTTGCAAATCTATAGGTTTTTAACCACGATGATTATCTTCTGGTCAAAAAAAAAAAACCCACAATGATTATCCTCTAAGCCAAGGACAAAGTGCCATGAAAAAAGAGTGCGGGAAACGTCATCCTAGCATCACAGGGGCAACGTCATCGTAGATTTATAAGCTAAGTGATTTTTCTTCCTTCCCTCCTTTCACATCACCACTCCTTCCTCATATTTTCCACTCAGTTGTTTCTCTCCTGCATCTGTATCTTCTCCCACCCCCACCCCACCCCACCCCGTCCCCCAGCCAGCCGCTGCCCTATTTTCAAAAAGCCAAACCAACGGGGAAAAAAAAATCACGGACTCCGCCGAATAGTGAAAACAGAAAAAGTACCAAGCAGATACCTCACGGAAAATGAGTACTCTTTGCGCCGAACATGCCTCTGCAAACAAGGAGAGTATCATCAGAGAGCTCCTTGAGGGCAAGGAGTGCGCTTCCCAGCTCAAGCTTTTGTTTCAAAAGCCTTTTGGGCCTGACGGCACTCCTCCTGCCGAACAACTTGTCTCCAGAATTTTGAGATCCTTCACCCAAAGTATTTCTGATCTGACTTCCTCCGTAGCCGGAGGCGAGGTTGGTCAGATTTCGCCGATTTCCGGTCAGAGCGGGTCGCCCCTCGGAACTTCTTCCTGCAATGGGCGGAGGCCGGACGAATCCGGCCAGAGCAGGAAGATATCATCGCCGCCTGCAAAGGATCGGAGAGGTTGCTACAAGAGAAGGTATAAAATCTATCACCTGATGATCTATTCTGACTCTCGTATTTCTTCACTCCCTCCGTCGAAGAAACTTGTTCTGTGAGCGATTTCGCTTACTTGTTACTTTCATGATTTGGGGCATGTACGGACACGTACGGACTAGGCCCAAGTTGTTATGGTCAAAGCTATTCGTTATGATGAAAAAGATTGAAGCTTTGAGGTTGGCCGCCGGGCTTTGATTGATATAAATATGTAAACGGGGTGAATTCCTGTGTGTTAATTTTGATTAGTGTCTGAGTATTTCGAGATTCAGATTCAAGTAGGGGGTTTCTGCGATGAAAGGTCATGAGAGCTAGTCAATAGATTCTGACCTGTGGTTCTGTCATATATGTTGCTACATGGAATAACATGCATGGATCCCTAAATTGTTGCAGGAAGACAGCAGATACTTGGACCAAAATCTCCCACACTATTGAGGATGAGCATGCGTGGAGAAAGTATGGACAGAAGGAAATCCTTAATTCTAGATTCCCAAGGTCTTCTATACTCTCCTAATTTCTATTCCTTTCATATCGCGCAAGTTAAATATTACTGCCGATATGATGTATGTATAGAAATCGCACCGATAGTACTTTCCCCGCCCTCCGTCTTTTCGCTTCTATTTTTGGACAAGAAAGATATATTTCCCGCAGGGTGATCTTTGTATCTATGCTGAGAAATATCATTATCAAGATATTTGGGATTTTGCTGGTGAAAAACTTGTCTATCTTTCTGATTCATACTGAAGTAGAAACTCAGCTACGTCCTGGACTGTAAGCTTTGCAGAACTTACTGATCCTGGTTCATTTAGACCTAGGCGCCGATGGAAACATAAATCTTAGGGGTCATATATAACATGTTATGCTCATAGTGCTATGAAATTATATCCATTTCATATCTTGAGTTCACATTTCATATATTTTTATTCATTTGACTCGCAGGAGTTACTTTAGGTGCACTCGGAAGCACGATCAAGGTTGTAAGGCAATCAAACAGGTTCAGCGAATACAGGAGAATCCAGAAAAGTTCCTAACAACGTACATTGGATCTCACACGTGCAAAGACATCCTCAGGGCTCCCCAAATGGTCACAGATTATGGTAATTTGGAATCATTTCTGGTGCCGCCCGAATCTAGTAAGGCTCCAATAATAAACGATGATCAAAAGGTGCACGGTCGTCCTTTGATCAGCTCATCATCATCGACCCCAGCCATAAAGCAGGAATATCCCAAGGAGGACACGCCACTGAGTGAAATAACGGATAATTTGGAGCCTAATTTTTGGTCAGATTTGAAGGACTTTGAGCTTCCGGAGCCGTTGAAGATGTCGACTGAACATAATGCAGATACTGTGTATTCATGTAGTGGGGGCACTATGGATTTTGGAGTGGATCAACCTGTTGGATTTGGCACTCATCCTCATCTCCACTTTGATTGAAGTCACCACCACCAGCCTTCTGCAGCTTCCTAGCTATATGGGTTTGACGCTGATTTAGTCTTTTATTGGGTTTGCGTTTAATTTTTCTAAGTCCCTTCCATAAATTGTGAAAATAGATTTTAGGTGTTTTCTCACCAAGCTCAAGCCTCTTTGAATAAAAATTCTTGTATATAAGTGCATAGTTTTTGTATCTCAACATTTAGCACCGAGTAATTAGAAAAACTTCCACGTAGTATATGATTATTGAAAATTTTGATGGCAAACGGTGGAATAACTTACCTTAAATCTGATGCTTTCAAGAAGAGTAGATAAAACATAACTAAATGACCATTTGCTATCAAATTTTCAATAGAGATATAGTATATCAAAGGTATTCATTTCGATTGAAAGATGTGTCATGTGAGACGTGGTTGAGTTATAGAATACATTCACTTAACAGTGGATGAAGTTGATACTGGTGGGACTTGGGAGGTTGCATGAATGAAGAGTGTGTTACATGTATGTGTATGTGTGTGGAAGCTGTTTGAACATGTATGTGTAAATCAATGAGGCTCAACTGTGTGTGATATATATATAATTTGCAAGTGCCTTAATCTGTAGATGGTGGAAGTAATATGAAGGGAGGTGATGAAGATGGTGACGGGGGAGGCAGGAAAACTAAGGGGAACCATAAAAGGCTGCAGGATAGGCTTGTGACTTCGAACTTTATTGAGTGATTGGAGTGAGTGGGGCCATTGTGTGCCCACAAAAGTGGAGACCTATCTTTCAACTTCTTGTACATATATAGGCGTATTTGTGCTGGGCAACTGATGATCTGTAGCCTTGTTGCTTAGCGAAATACGTCTTTTTCACAGGCATGAAATATCGTTCTGGCCTACTCATAATTGCCTCTTCGCCACGAAATATGACGCCGAGATTTTTGTGCTCTCCAAATTCAGCACACACGTGTGCCGCACTTCCTTAGTACTACTCTATAAATCACATGCTGCATAATAGTAGATGATACCTAGGGTTTCTTGATGTTTTTCCTTAAACCCTAACTAACGCTAGGCCTAAGGTAAGCGAACTGTATATACGCGTGAGAATCGATCGGGATATGCTTTCTCTAGGTGAGGAAAGAAGAAAGACATTAATGTGACGGAACCAGAGAGACTTAACGCTTTGTATGAAGATTAAATGGAACATGATTGCTTTTCGATTCGGGAAAATAGGCTTTAATTAATTAGTACGGTGATAAGGCAAGTAAATTATTTTTCTTTGCCTCCAAAGTTTGGTGTGGACCCAACAAAAGCAGAGGGGGAAAAGCCACGGAAACGCGACCATGATGGTGGGTTTAATCGACATAGTAATCCATGATTACATGAAGGGGACAAATCTCAGGAAAAGAAATCAACATCGCATCTTCACCCTGGCCATGACACGTTGCATTAAAGTATGAAATGAAAAATTTGAAATAGGGTTAAAAACAAGATTAAGCTCACTGATTGCTTAATAATCTGGGCTGTGCATAATAACAGACGAATTATTTTCGGAGACGCGAGGCCGGGCCACCTTTTTTTTTTTTTTTGGGTTATCATGTCATCGTCTCCTCTGTCATAAAAGAGATGCCCAGCCAATCACTCACCCAGGTTTTGACACAAGCTTTGTTCAAATAGAATCTCGATTATATCATTAATTAATATTCTTCAGTGAAGAACATCTCAACAAATTGCTAGATTACATGTTGTTCTATATTCAACACCCACGGGGGTTAACACAATTGGCTGTTTTTTTAAGATTGCAAAGTCAACTCTGCTCAACTACTGCTATTATTGTTGTAGATTAAATTTGGCTTATAGCTGGTTGTTTCCCTTATTTTGATGCCTCTCGAGAAAAATAAAGTATTACTCACTTACTTTTTAAATTAATGTTACAAATGGACTGTCGTTTCTCAGGATTCTGAGAAACGAAAAATATCCAACCAAATAAAACGCGTACGCGTATGCTTTGTCATGTTTATCTTTATCAGAGCTCACGTCGTACTCCGCGATAGTGAAACTTTCAAGACAATAACAGGGACAGCCACTATTGCTTCTTCTTTTTTCTTTTTTCTTTTCTTCTTTTTTTGGGGGGTTGGGGGGGGGGGAGAATATGAAGAAAAGTAAAGCAATTATTATGACCTTCAAATTACAAACATCACGTACATGCCCCAGAAGAAAAAACAAAAGGTTAAGATAGGAAGTTACTTTTCTCTCTAATTAATCTCTATCTCTCTAAACATTCGTCAATAAATTATTTGCCTGCCATATCGCTATGTATGGCACCTACCATTACTCCTTAAAAAATGAAACTGATTACGCCTTTTTTTCAGTTAAATTAATTAATAATATTGTTCAACTTTTCAGTAGAATTATTAAACATGCATCAGCTATATCTGCCCCCATATAATCAGTACTATTACCATATCTTGAAGTGGAGGGGCCTCCGCAGGCGGCACCGGGGCAGAGGCCGAGGAGGGGCGGTGGGAACCACTGGGAAACTGAAGTTGAAGATGAAGACAAGTGAGGGGAAAGGGCAGTAGTAGTGTTGAAGTGGGGTGAGATATCAGCAAAAAGGTATGGAGCTGGAACTGATGAAGATGGAGCTGTGGAGGACATAACGCAGGTGTGACTGCCTCGGTATGTTACTGAGAATGTGGTAGGGTTGTCATCCTGTCGCTGCACTTGCTTCTTCGCAGGACATTTATATAATTTCTGGTGGGTGCACCTGTAATAACTCCTGAAAAAAAAAAAAACTGCAAGCTAAGTGAGTCTAATTCATTATATTGTTTAAATTATTAATAATTTGATTTGTGATTTAATTTTGTTTCATGCTCGCCGTTAAATTTTATTAATATATATAGCTAATGATTATGCAAATATTAGTTAATATATTAAACACGCATGCACACATGACATCAAATTAAAATTTGAATGACTACATGCATAGTAATTTTAGGGCACTAATCGTAGTTTGTTTATGTTTCAGAATGACATTCGAAAATTTAACATACAGAGATTTAAAAAATATCAAATCAATAGTTTTTTCGGTTGTAGAACCCTATTTACGAAACTTTGGCCTATATATAATTAAGAAACGGACTAAAAATAATAAAACCAAAAGGACCCACGTAAATTAATGAAGGAATCTTAAATATGTGAGGAATGTTTAGAGTAATTAAATTCTGGGAAGATTAATGGGTTAATTTTTGTGGCCACTGCTGAATTTCACTTCACAACAACGAATTATTAACGGGAAGAAATGTGAAGAGACATATCTATCATGAAAAATGAAGAGAAATTAACATGATTGGACGAATGTGCGCATAGATATGAAAAAAAAAAGAACCTTGAGCTCTGTTTTGAATTGAATCTGTCAACCTATATATTAAGATATAATCAATCACACGGATTCAGATAATTTATTTTATAGTGTATCTGTACTAACATCACAAAAGTTGATAATTACTCAAGACCATTCAATGATATATAAGCTAATCAAGTATGCGCATGTGGTCAATTTGAGCGTTTGAATTGCTAATTACTGGCAAGATGAGGCATATGAGGATGATATATTATGATTATGAACCTTGGGTTCTTAGAGCCAAATATCACTTTCTGGCCATATTTTCGCCAAGTGAAACCATCCTCTGGTGGAATCTGTGTGTCCCCAAACCTAGGCGCAGGTGCCATCACTGTCTTCGTCGCCGAGTCACTTTTCCTGCCATTGCTTTAACACACAAATAACCATTAGGCCAGTAATGACCTTAAATTAAAGTAAATATAGCTTGAATGTGCTACTCATTAATGGGGTCACCACACACACACATATATAGTTGCTGCATATAAATTTATGTACAGCAAAAGCCAATATATGATTAGATATGCGTGCCTTCTTACCTAGTTCCTAATTAAGAAAGCTCCGTGAAAATTCTATCCAAATATTTTAGTCTGTGCACTTTCGGTTCCACAGCAATAATCTAGTACGGATTATGCTAAAGTAATGTCAGGGCAAAGCCCAAAAGCACATCCCACTAGTACTTTGTTCCTTTGTTCCCCTTCTTAATTTTTGGGGATGAGAACGAGGTGCAAGCCATCATCTAAAAGAACTTCCAATCATGGGGGACGTAAAAGAGAAGACGGCTCTATGACGCCTTTAATTCTCAATGAGGTAAGATTTATTAAGGCAATACGTATAGCTTGTTAGTTTCAATCACCAACACAAATATATACTATAAATTCAGCAAATTAAATTAATCAAAATTAAGTCAGTTATACGAGTAAAGTTTTATACACCTCTTTGGCAGTCGCATTCGAGCTGTTCGTGGTTGTCGCTGCACTTGATCGTGAATGGACTGATCCATTGGTTGTGCATAGCTGGTAGATCTGATTGGGCACTCCGGCATGAAATTAGAAGTTGCAGGCATCCGATCAGGCTGGCGTGCTTGACCAAAGGAAGAAGAAGATGGCGTTGGGTGTTGGGAACACAGTCGTAGGCTTTCTTTTGCCGCCGAAAACGTCTTCACTATCTCATCAATGGACGTGAATAGTACTTTAGGTTGGCTAGCCAAGCTGGAAAAATTTGATTCCAGGTTTCTAGCTAATTCACAAGCACGGTATATCAAACAACCAGTGGCCTCTTCCATGGTTTCTGAGTCTTTCTGCTTTCTGGGGTTTGCCATATGATATGCACCGGGCAAATCATAAAAGGTGCGGCGTGGTGGGTAAATTTCTGGGTAAGCTTCTAGGTTGGTGCTTTTGTGCTAGACCCTGTGAGAAAAAAAAATTAAGGTTCTATGTAAATATATATATATATCCTTTTACACGGTTCATAAATATAAAACGGGGAAGGGGGAACGTGGAAACGAAGACTCAGTCATGACCTTGGCTAGCTTCTTGGAATTTCAAACTTAGTTTTTTCTATGGGTTTTGAGGGGGACCTCTTGCCCCATTGATACCGTTTCTCTTTGGGACCCCCTCCCTTGGATTTGACGAATTTTCTGTTTGAAGCTATGACCAAGACCCCGTTTTACCCCTACTAATATTTATTCTCAAGAGTTTGAACGCATGTCCCTTTAATTGACCAGAGAATCACTTTACCCGCAACTAATAATTTCTTAATTATATTCGCTAGCTGTTTGAGTAGTTAAGCTGATACTGCTCAGATGAAAACTAACCGGACAACATATGGCCAATCCAACCTTCGTTGTAAACTTATAATCTTGATCACGCTCGCGTGTGAGATATTATAATCAGTAGATTGTGCACATTTCAAAATCAGATGGCTTTCGAAATGATGAGACTTCGTATATATACAGTGCAATCCTAGGATGAGGCGCGCTGAAGAATTCGAACCCATCCGGGCTTAGTCTTGTGCAAAATCAATTCCTGATGGAGTATACACCAGTTATGTATATTTCTGTCATTATGTGTGCATGTGAAGTTATGTGAAAATACTTTCCTTTTGCTTTCTATCAACTCAGAGATTAGGGTAAGTGGCGAGAGCTAACTAAAGTCCACAACATCAAACTGTAACACTAACCAGAGACGAGTCTCATGAATGAGATAAAAGGATTTGGTGGCTGTGCTGACGGCCATGAAGAGCGCAGTTTTAACATATATATATATATATATATATATATATATATTAAAAAAAACTTACTAACTGTATGATAACTCCAACATGTATTCCATTTTATATGAGGCTAAAAATTAGAAAAGAAAAATTCATGCACCGATCCTTCCTTACCGGTTAATTGTTAATTCCAGGTCTTTTCAAGGGGTCCACGCTTTTCAAAACAACCTCGACTCCTTTCCTTTGAATGGTATTCTTGCGCGAAGGGCCACAAGTTAAGGGAAAGTCCTTCAATGACTTTTCCTTTCCTCATGTGAAGAGGCTAGGGTTTTCTTTCTTTTGAATGTCATGTCTTCGGTTTCTGACATTTCTCTTACAACATGGCAAATCGAAGTTTCCATTTTTATTGTAGCTGACTGGCTAGGGTTAGCTTTAAGTTATAACTTGAATGGTTCAGTTCATTTAAGGCTTTGTGATCAGCGTTTTACAGTATCGTGATAATGCTATGGCAAAACTTCCATCCCGTAACTACCGCTAACCTCGTCAATTCAAAATGATAGTCGTGGTGGCAAATAAGTATTCCATGAGTTAAGTCGCTGGGTTTCAATTTTCATATAGTCTATATTTCTTAAATTCCATGAATTGTACGGGATGACTCCCATTTTTGCAAAATTGTCCTCACCAAAGCTTCTGCACCAGAAGCACAATGGCGAAGGAAAAAAAATAATTATATCCAAGAGGCAGCAGTGAAAGAATGGCCCAAATAAAATGCAGCAGCAGTTAAAAGGTAGCTGGTAGGTAAGGACGTGCCTATGTAATGCGCAGCTGAGGGAGTTTCATACTTCTTCCACCTACAAAGAAAATTGTCTTCCGATTAAATTCGCAAACTCACTATAAGACGAGCAAATAATAACTGAGCATAAAGCATTGTTGCCTTTTCTTCTGAAAGGAGGGTGGGAATATAACCTGAGGAAGGCTCATCAGCTCGAAAACGGCTTTTTTTGGAGTAAGTTCACTGTCAATGATGCGTGCCACTGCGGTCAAAACTGGCAATTTCACATTATATTTCTGCGCCAAAGCAATCACAGCTCCTGCCGTAGACACACCCTCTGCTACCTTCACACAGAAAGCATATGTATTTTACTTCAATTGTCCCATTCTACCATATATAAAAGCTATGAGCTGACAACCTGGCACAGCTAGGGCCTGCTGAGATACCTGATTCATGGAATTCAGTATATTCTCAAGTTTCTCCCCAGATCCAAGACGCACACCAACTGTTCTGTTTCTTGAAAGATTTACAAAGCACGTAAGCATTATGTCTCCAGTTCCAGATAGCCCTGTTATCGTTGTTGGCTTTGCACCCATCTTCAGAAGACAATTAGAGTAAACAGAAGACATTATTGATTTGCAGAAGCCTCAGAGGCAACATATGCTACAAGGACACTAAGGATCATCAACAGTATATATCCACATCCCAGATAAACTATGATGACTATATTGCCATCAATCCATTCACGGGACAGTCACTAGAATATGCAAATGAAAACAAACGATTTACTCGGACATTCTATACAGCATTACTAGGGAAAGAAGAGAGGTGAAAGTTACAGATAAGTACAGAACTGATATCGCAGGTAGAAATCTGATCACCTTTGTTGCAAGCCATCGTATCTCTGAACAGCCTTGTGCAACAAGAGCAGCCATTGAGTTATTGCCTAGATTCATACCTTCCACAATACCTGCGGCTATTGCAAGCACATTCTTAAGTGCACCTGCGATTTCAACTCCTGTAACATCACTGGAGTTAAAAGAGATTACACACTGAACATGAGCACCCTAATTAAAATATACAAAAGCCAGGGAATCTTAGGAAGCCAAGATAGAATGAACCAGGAAGGTAATACATTATACATTAATTGAGAACGGAAACAGAGTTGGTTAGCGAAGCATTAGATGCTCAAATATCCAACTCGTGACAGACTGGTTCAGGCATTTTGCATATGAAATGATTTAATATGATGAACCTAGTGAAGATCATCTCTACCTTGATGTACTTATTCTTAGTTGACTTGACGATAGCAATTGCTGAACTGCATTTGCCAATTTTTTGTCTTTGGATGCAACCACCATAGCTGTTATTTCAAAATGTAGGAAAACAACCCAATATCAATTATTTTGTCACCTCAAAAAGAAGAGAATTGAAAGTACGAGATCCACCAGCTTAACCTGTGGGAAGCTTATTCATCAATTCTAAAGCAAAGGAAGGCCCTGATAGTGCAACAAAAGGTTGGCGAGGATTCTTTAATGCTTGAGGAATAATTTGAGACATCATCCTCAGAGTGTTCAGCTCCAGGCCTTTACTAAGAGATATAAATGGCAAGCCTGGATCAACAAAATCTGCAACACTCTCGAGAAAGGATGAGCTGAACTGCAATAGTAGAGATAAGATTCAGATTTCAGACAATCGCTTCTGTTGTGAATGTCAAATGCACGATTGAATCAATGCATCTTATTTCACTAAAAGAAAGACATAATAAAACACCAGTAACTAATACTAGTAGACTAGTGCAGTCCAAAAAATCTGGATGACCTGAACAGGCACAGCATGAAGGCAGTAATCGGCATCAACCAAAGCATCTTTTGCATCAGTTGTTGCAACAACATTTTCTGGAAGCTTGTGTTCAGGGAAGTATTTGCTTCAAGAAGACAATCACTTAAGAGAAATGGCAGATAATATTAATAGACCATAAGGTGAATTACGCGGCTGACAAAAGAGTTTACCAATTGAAGTGCCTCTCATTAACAGATAAGCAAACTTGAGGGTCCCGCACAAGCATCTTGACTTCCAGTTGAGCCTTCTTATTAGCAACATGTGCAGCCATTGCCGTCCCAAATGATCCCCCTCCTAGTACAGCCACCTGTGGTACGAGTGGGTTTCAAAATGCCCCGGCAAAGGGATTAAATATCGCGAGTGTAATATCCAAAATGTACATGCAAGAAACTTACAAATGGAAAGGCCAGCTCGAACAAAAAGCAAGCGCTCTATGGATACAGGACGGAACATTTTGAATGCATGGGTTAACAAATGATCATGCCACAAGATAAATAACCGAAAACAGCGAATGAAAAAAATGAAAATGAAGTTATCGACAATATTAGTGTTGTCATAATAAGTTCTCAGAAACCAGGGAAAGAACATACTCAATTGCTCAGAAGCAGTAAAGAGACTGAAAATATCAAATTAAAAGAAATAAGGAAAAAAAGGAGAATGACAAAGCAAACCTTGTTTGTCCGTTCAAGTACGTCAGTCTTGACCTTGGAGCGCCAAGACCTGGACCACCGGACTAGCTTCTCCCAGGCCAGCCTAACGGCTCGCCGGCGGTCGCGCGTCGTGTCTGGGTCGGATTCAGTATCGAGGCCAGTGTCTTGGGGTCTTCGTGAAGAAGAGGGAGAAGACATTCCAGCACAAGAAGAACGATTGGTATCAGGAGGACGACGACTGTGAGACGTGGATTTTAGGGGAAAAGTCTGAAACTTTAGATTACTGGGATAACATGGACGTGACTTTAGAGCGATGGGCGGATTCACAGCTGACGGCTCCAACACAGTCGCCATTGCCAAAACTCGGGAATCAGAAGCGCAGTACGAGGAGTTCAGGAGCGGGGTAAGGGCCACTCAGAGGTACGGAGTCGGATTGCCCCGAACGAATTTTTTAAAGATAATGATAAAAAGGAATATATCCTTTACCTGACTTCGAATTTGAGGAGGGAAATCTGAAGCAAGCATGTGGATTTTTGTTTTGGCGGAAAGTCTTCGTATCCTTGTTGTTTTGTCATTCAGTACTCAAAATTGGACCGATTTTAGATTCTGTTTAATGAAATAATAGGTAAAAATGACTTTCTTTGCTGGAAAAAAAATGAAAGTTAATTCCTCTTTTTTATCCTCCCTTCCTTCCTTCTACGTTCCAAAGTTTTTTATCTTAGAAAAATAGCAAATAAAAACCCCATAATATATGAAATTGTGATTTGAGACCCTCAATTTAAAAAATAGAAAATAAAGACTCTGTCCCATATTGTAAATATAAAATCTTAGTGAAATGTCTGAAATGCCTCTCAGCCAAATGATAAGTTCACTTTAGCAAATGATAACTTCAATAGATCACTTAATTGAAGGTATGCCAAATGATAAGTTGACTATGAAAAATGACAAGTTCATTTTAGCGAATGACAATTTCAGTAAACTAAATCACAACTTGATTAAAAGACATTTTAGATATTTCACTAAGATTTCATATTTATAATATAAAACTAGGTTTTATTTGTCATTTTTCAAATTGAGAGTCACAAATCATAATTTCACATATTGGGAGTCTTTATTTGCTATTTTTTCTTTTTTAGTTTGGTACATTAAACATTAAATAATCCACGCATATTAAGAATATAAGGTAAATTGGTTATTTATAAAGAAAGTTGATTTTCTTGAACTACTTTTCTTTTTAATAATTAATAATTGATCTTGTAGTCTTATGAGAATAACTTGGTTTGAAAAAGATACCAAGAATGAAAGAGACAAGAAAATGGGTTAATATTTATAACTAAAATAAACTCTTCTTGACTTGTATATTCAAAACCGGAGAGAATATTTTTATTCAAAATAATCTTGCATGTGAAAATTTGTATAAACAATCTATATCCATTATAAAAATATATATATATATATATATATATATATAAAAAGGGAGACTTGCACTATTTAAAAGTTATAGAAAGTACAGGAAGATTTATCACGAGTCTTAACAGAAAGACATTCTGTTTTTAAAATCAATGACCAAAACACGCCAACCATGTTTGGGCAGAGGGCTGTTGTCAATAAAACGCGGTTTTGGTGGGCTTTTTGTTTCGAGCATAGGATCTGATTGAATGGGAATTTTTTGACCTGACTGATTGAATTGAATTGAATTGTGAGCCACACTAATTATTTCTTGTGGACTCCATGGTAGTATTTCAATATTTATCACACGCATGCGTCGCCTTCTATCATACTGTCATGTAAACTGTATTTATTTATTAATGTGAATCCGTGCCTACTGAGTCAGCTTATGGAACATACCCAAGTACCCAACGGTAAGATTTCACATTAATACCTTTTGCGCGTTCACACTTCAAACACAGTTCTCGCCTAGACATCACCAATAATTTTTCATGACAGTTAGTAACTTGAAAAAGCGGCGCTATCAGTGATTGAAAAATAATGTGAATTGTTATAAATTTGACAGTACGTATTCAATTGATTGGTTGAGATGTTGATATGTACTCATTTCTGGGGCGTGTGCTCGCTTGAAATGTTGTGCTCAAACCGGGACAAAACCTAAAAAGACAGAAAAGAACACAGCAAATTCAACTAAAGAAACCTGAAATCGGTTTGAGATTTCATAGGACGTGACAACATTTTTTAAAGAGAGAAAAATCTGTCTACTCTAAAACATCTGGAATTAGTTCACTGGAACAAACTGGTCTGAAGTAGCCGTGGAAAGCTACTAAATGATTTGAGTACAAGATATGTTTGGCCTCAGCAGTTCATGAATTGACAAGTCAGTATATTAACATCATATTGCTTAAGGGGTTTTAGGATGAACATTTGAACTCCTTCCTCCAAACACTGTTTCATCAGCACAACAATTAAGGATTAAGGAGTGGATGAGAAAGAAAAACCTAAACCTAACATCCCTAGCGAGAAACAGATATTAGTTAAATAAGAATTTTGGGAATTACTTGCTAATCCGGGTCGGCACATTCTCAGATGACATGATGACCACAGGAACTTCCTTCACGATAGACAATTCCTTCATGCACCTTGATAGAGAAGATTCGGAAATGTGGCGGGAAAAAAACTGAAACTGATTGAAAATGCTCTTTATATCTACCTTGATCTTCTTGAGTAATCGTAGCCTGTCATCCCAGGCATACAATAGTTTGTGATAATCAAATTAACTTTGGATCTCTAAAAACAATCATATCAAACATGTCAGTGAAAATTTAAGTTTTGTGGGGTTTGTAAAGAGAAGACTCTGCTTCAAATAGTTACTCATAGTTCCCTTCTTGATGTGTGCTATCAGTTCAAGAATTCCAATGCCCTTGCCCCTTTTTCTGCTTGTCACTAATCTAGTACCATTCACTCTTGACGCATTTACAATGGTACCTTTGCAAGAAGAGTTCTTCAGAAGCTTCTCGACAAGTTTGCGATCAACGAGATTGTCATCAACCTCTAAGACATGAGGAGTGGGGCCATTTTCCGTCATCCAATTCGAAAAGCTGGAAGAAGAAGTTGAGCCCAATATCTTAGTGGTCATGCTCTCCCAACTGACCTCCATCCTACGTTTCTTTAATGAGTAAGAAAAGTAGTCCGGTAAAGCAAAGCAGACTGCGATAGGATTAATAAGGAGTACAAGGACGATGAGAAGGATGACACGCTTCGCTGACAAAGACCTGCTAAGAAGAGAGAAATAAGGACCAAGTGGACCGTCACAAGAAGTGCATGAAGGTTTCATGCATGGCCTTGTATACCTGGAGAGTAAATGCAGATGGAAATCCCACTCGACGAATTTTAGGAAAAATCAAAATCACAGACATTTTCGTGACCCATTTTGAGACCATCTGCAAATTCTATTCCCAACAAAATCTTATACTCCCTATCATGTCTTGCTATCTCGTTGTTAGTTTCTTTCTTCTTTGTCTCCACCAGATATTTCTCTATCCCGCCCCCTTTTAAGCCAATCTGCTTGTTGAATGGCTATTTGTTGATATTCCTTTTCCCTCAGAACAAAATGGTTTACATAAAATCTCAGAAAACACAGGTTTTTACCTTTTCCTATGGTGAGAGAGGTTTGGGAGATTGAGGTTTTCTTGTCTGCATTCTTACTATCTTGCGTCGTTTAAAATGGTTAATAATTGACAAAGATTTTTGTACGGCTACTAATCCCAATCTACGGTTGTTGGTGTTATTGGAAAGATGGCTTGCAATAGATAATTTTATTAATTGGTCTGGATCATATTGTAGAAACAGTTATTAGTCTCCCAAATACTACCCCGGTTCTTAATATAAGACTCTGTTTGATTTTTATTTTGGTCCTAAATATAAGACCTCAAACCACTTTGTTTATCATATTTATATATTTTTTTTCCAAGATAATCCTTCTAATAATAGTAATTATAGCCAATACATTTAATTAGTACAGATATTTTAGGAAAAACATTATATATTTACTACAAATAACTAACTTAACTTCTTTTCTTAATCTCTTCAAATTAGTCAACTAGCTCTTATAATTAGGACCGGAGATGGTATTACAATTAAGAAAGCATATTGCCAAAGAGTAAGGGATTTATGCAGGTGGTGGATCGAGATTCATTCGCAACAAAAAACAAAAACAAAAAAATAATTCAATCTTTTGATGCCGAGCTGGGAATGTGGAGGAAGAAATGGACGAGCAGGTAAAGAGGCAAGAGGAATCTTAAAAGGATGAGGATGAGTATGACGACGTGTTCGTTCGGCATCACTTAGATATACATTTATAAATACCTCTTATATATATAAAACAAAATTCTTCTCATATATTTATCTCTTGTTTTATAAATTATGATTGAAAAACTATTTATAAATTATTTTAAATAGATTTGTAAAGGTTCTGTTTAAAATCAAAATTGAAATCACTTATAAGTAAATTTCATATAAATCAAAGTAAAACTCTTCCTATATACTTATATGTCATACCCTGAGAATCCGATCTCTGTTGCCTCTCTGGACAGAAACTTTTTTAACTAGCTTCTCTGGACAGAATCTGAAGATACGTCAACCTTACAAAACGAGTGAAGTCTCTCTCCCTCTCCCCTCCTCTTTATATACCGCTCCAATTCTAAATATATGATTATTATACACACTAGTATAAGAATCTTATATTTAGAATCAAAGAGTATGTATTACACTAGTTTTTATCTTTAATATAAGAACTAATAGACTAATTTGAGTAGATTAAAAAAATTAATTAATTTATAATGAATACATGTTATTTTTCCTAAAATACATTTGTTAGTCAAGTTTATTATTTAAAACTATTATTACTACAAAGCTATCTTGAAGAAAAAAATAAATAACTAGAAGAAACAAGATAGATTAAGATTTTATATTTAAAATCAAAATAAACATCAAAATTAATTCTTATATTAAGTACTAGAAATAGTATGACGTAAGATTAAAGTTTGAAAGTTTGGGAAGACCGGAAGATTGATTTTTAAACATTATATTTGAAAATACTCTATACAGGACAGAATGGAGCAGAGCAGAACGTGGATACCGCGACAGGAGTATAGTATTAACGAATTTGAAAACCCTGCAAAATTAACGAAACAATGAAAATGAATCGAACAAACACAATGAATTGGGGGACGATTTTTAAAAAACACGTTTTGCTCTACGCCACCCACCTCGTTTAATTCCACTGCCATCCCCATCCCCACTCACGGGGACTGTTATTTCAATGACTTGAACAGATGTTGAAAACATTTGTATCTAATCCTCAGAATCATAATATCAATATATTCCTCCGGTCCTTAATATAGGACCCAATTTTGAGTTGTTTTAGTCCTAAATATAAGATCCATTTCTCATATTTATCATTTTTCTCTAAATTACCTTTATGGATACTCCATCAACCATAATCAAGTAGAAGAGGGAGATAGGGTATTAAGAAAGATAATTATGGTATTTTAGGAAAAATGTGTCACTTTTCTTATAATTAACTAACTTACCTAACTTCCTTAATTAATCAAATTAGTTAAATGGATCTTATATTAAGGATCGGAGAGTATTATTTATTTTCAATTAAAATTTATTTTGTTAAATCATTTCTGGATGGTATGGCTTCCATTTCAATAATTCGTATTCTGAGTAATTTTATGAGCCTCTTCAAAACAAAAAAGTTGTGCAGCCATTGCAGCCCGTGGGTGCAATATAATGCTTCTCCGGGCCTTCAGGCGAAGATCAACGAACGTAAGTGGAGGAGGAAGGGAAGCAAGCGGATTTGTCTGAATCACACGACAACGTTTATAAGCAAAAGCGCTCATAATAAGTCGACCGACTTCTGATAGTGGCCATAACTTGTGACTCTGGCCAACAAAAAATAAGGCTGCAGCTTTGAGTTTGGTTTCCCTTCTCACAATCCGGAGGTTGAAATTGAATTAAATATTAGTAAGTGGTGGTCTATTATTTCAAAAATTACCACTACCTGACCTCTCATTAATTAAAAAACTTATCTTTCTCATCCTTATCATCAATTATTTAGATTCCTGTAGACTTGTTTAAGTTTCACAAATGTATACACGTCACTTTTGCCAAAGAATATTCTCTTAAATAATGAGTGTATTCCAAACTAATGGTTCTGCGTAATTTTCACTTAATAAAAGTAGCCTGTAGTGCCACAAAAGTCATTGAGTGGGAGCTACATCTTTCATTGGGTTTGAATACAATATTACTTCGCTATATAGTTTTTAAAAAAATTAACAACAAATACTTACATCCATAAAAACATAGAAATCGGCAGCTATTAATATTAGTGATCAAGTGCACAATTCACCTGAATTGACTGTATACAACCATTTAACAAACTTGGCCTTCGAGGTGCAATACTGATCATCTTCAGAATCTGTACACTTTTTCAAGTCAATTGCAGAATCCGAACCATCAGGGTCCCTGGCCCTGCAAGAGCCAACAATTCTTGAGCTGCGATTCAGCGGTTTCCCTGAAACTCTTTACTCGGACTAAGCAGAAATGGGTGCAAAACGGACTCATTCCAGGACCCGCTTTGACCCGACTCGTCTTCAGCAAGTAACAGATGGGCCCGGCTCCCACCCCTCTCCCCTGAACCACAACCCCCCACGCCTTCGTCGTCCTCCCCTTTCCTTCTCCCCCTTCATCCCCTAATTCTTCCACCAATATTACCCCTTCCGGCAATGGCGTCTCCCCCGTTTCCCATTTTTCCACCACCCCCGCCCAATCATCCGCCATTGCCCTCTGATCTGTCTTAAGGGCCGTCGTTTCACCAGCGTTTGACTTCTTTGGATACACCTGTACTAACAGGGGCGCTTCTTTTAAATTCTTCACGATCTCCACCACCGAATTTTTCATCCACTCATCTAGTCTTTCGTGAGCATCAACGGCGTCGTTTCTGCGGTGCTTTTCTTTCCCCCCTCCTTCGTACTTCCAAATCGGTTCCAAACTCGCCGAGGTGGCCGAGATCCTCCCCTTCCGTATCCCTCTTGAGCGGTTCTGATGACTGATCACCACCAACTGTTCACTACACCGATTCTTGATCTTCCATTTCCCCACGCGATCCCCAATAAAGCTGTTGTTCCCTATCCCGATTGTAGCCGATGCCATCCGCTGCAAAAACGAGTCTTTTTGGGGTCTTAACTGACAAGAGACGGGCAAAAAAATCGACCTGTGTTATCCGTGAGGAGGAGAAAGTGAATAGGAAGGAGCAGGCCGGAGGAGGATATAGCAGAGAAAGGAGGTGGGTATTATAATGATATGAAGCTTTAAATTCAAGATGGAAGGGGACTCCTCCTTTCCGTTGTCACGGTCACGGAGAGCGCTATATGGTAATAAAGAGAGTTGGAGCTTCAAACTCACATTTCTAACGTTTCTGGGATTTGTGAAAGCTGCTTCAACTCCCAATAACAGAATCCCTTTGCTTTAGGAGAGAGGGGCTTTGTTTCTCTGCGATCGAACCTACTTGGTTACGGTGCGAGCCTTTAAGGACTGGGTATTGATCCGCAGTAGTGTGAAAATTTTGAAGGCAAAGAGAACCGTAGATCCTCGGTTGGGAATAATTTTACGCGGCAATAATGAAATGGAAAGCGGGTATTGGTGGAGTAAAAGAAGAAGCGGAAGATTGAATGCATGCGATAATGAGGGAGGGGTGGGTGTGACGTAAAGAACCGAAGACGAAGTTGGGGCAGGTTGGCGGGCGGGGCCGATGTGGGGAGGCACGTGGATTCCCGCGACAAGCGCATGCATTTGGAACGCAGACGTACAGGGGCGTTCGCTCCGAGTAAAGCTTTGGCCAATAGAATTGAAGAGCCATGACACGTTGGACCCGTGGATCACCACGTCAACACTTTTGCAGGGGGATTGATGCCAGCACATTGACACATCAGATTGAGCTCCATGTCATTGTACGTTAACACACGGTCCTTTTTTTTTTTTTTTGGTGAAGAAACACACGGTCCAATTTAATACCCTCTTTTTTGCCATGACGTCACAATTTGACTGGCATTAAATGTTATGTGTGACTCTGACGGTACAAAATCCATCGCTGATCGTTTACCCCCCCACTTGTGCTTCTAATTCTGACCGTTCATGGATCCGGACTAAGATTGCACGTGTTCGGAAGAATCTGGCCATTCCAGGACCTTTTCTTGTTTTTGTTTTAAAAATGAGAGTGCTGCAAAAATGCTCGGCTGATTATGATTTTTTTTTAATATATACAAGAAGAGTTTAGGTGAATTTGATTTAAAGATAATTAGGACTTCAGGAAGGAAAAAAGATAATTAGAACAATATGAGAACATCGAATACAAAAAAGAGAAAAGATTACTCTGTAGTTTATAATATTGAGAAATTTAATTTAGAATGCATGTAATAAATAAAATTATTAGCAGATAAACACGATGCAAATTGAAATCTTGATAAGAACATATTTTTTACATACAATAGATGTGAGTGCAAAAAAAAAGTGTTACTAAAAAATTATAGAAATATTTCTGTGATGGACCAATAATAAAGACCAGGTTTAGTAAAAAAAGTTAGTCTCTCATAATGTGATAAATTAATATTTAAATTCTCACTAGGAAATATACACATATTTAGTGCTTGATGGTGTTTGAACTAAGATTTTTGTTTTTAGTAGAAGGATGCCAATGCATGGAAAAAAATTTGTGATGGGCTATGATCCGGCTTCAGTTTTAGGGGACAGGTAATAACTTAAGCCCATGGGCAGACAAAATATTGTTAAAGAATGAGAGTGAAGAAGAGCCCAAACTGCTAAAGGACAGCAACTATAGGGGAAACGGGCCCAAAAGAAATGCCTGACTGCAACTCCACCTGAAGTTGAAGCAATTCAGCACCGCGTTTAGAGGGTGTTTGGCAACTCTTAAAAGTGCTTCTCAGAATCACTTTTCTGCAAAATGAGACAAACTACTCAATAGATTTACTTCGTAAATCCTAAAAGTACTTCTAAAATCATGATTTGGTTTCTATCCAAATACTCTCTAAGATTGAGAATTGGGACGAGAATCAGATGATTTAAGCGGACCCTAGACTCGGAAGCAGCGTATTTTGACCAAAAAAGCAAAAGACTCGGAAGCAGCGTAGCAGACTTCGACTTGGAACCTTGGACTGGATTTCAAATTTGTTAGTTCTTATAAAACAATTGCGACGCGACTGGTCTCTGGCCTGTTTTGACCCAAAAAAAAAAAGGAAGGTTCGAGACCGACCCCCAAAATGTATATCTGCCTACAAACGTCATATTTTATGTTGTATTTGACACGGTATTTTCACCAGCTTGGTGGGTTACTAGCACGTTGGACTCCCCGGGGACTGCGGTGAAGAAGCATAAAAATGATAATAAGCCCAGAGGATGCAGCTCACATTCTCAACAGACGAGTATTTGAATTTTGAACATCGCTATTAATATTAATACGAATGTGTCGTTTGCCGGCAATTTATAACTTCTCCCTCCGGTCCTGTATATATATGAACTTCACTTTTTGAAGAGAAGTTTGATCCAAAATATAGATTTTATTTTTGAACTTGTCTTAACACCTTTTTTTATTTTATTTTGCCCTCAGTTAAATGTATTTAGTACTTCTTCTCTTTTATTAATATTACCCTTATATATTTTCTTTCATCATTTTTTCATTTATTGATTCTCTCATTTAATCTCTTAATAAATAAAGGCAAATTTGAAAAAAAATATATTTATGATATATTTATTATTTTTAACTAATTTTAATGACTAGTTCGTTAAACGTGATTCAGTTATTTAAGAGTTATATATAGGACTGAAGGGAGTATTTTCACACCTTCATCTATATATACTTCTCTAATCCTATTTATAAAGCAGTGAAAGAAAATATTTCTTATCCTATTTATAGGGTATTAAAAGAAATTTTTTATATAGATATACAATTTTACTTTTTATTTATTATTGTGTTAACTTTGTTTACATGAGATATAATATATATTAAATAGAAATAAAGTTAAAAACTTATTAAATTTTAAATGACAACTAATAAAATTTAAAAATTTAAATATATATCTCTCCCCTCCCCCCAACCCAACAATGAGTTCTCATACCCACAACTCACGAGAGGCAGGTGATATTGTACTTTTGTTGTTGTTTGAGTTTTTCACACATGAGTCCATTCCATATAATGTGGAAACAGTCAATTTCCTGTTTTGTTTTTTAAAACTGCCACGTGAATCGTTTTGGGAAATCTAAACCAGACTTGGATTTTCTTTAAATCTTTTTATCAATTGCAAATTTAACTTCTGTTGTTTTTTTTCCCCATCTCTCCTTCGGTCTTGTTAGCTGGTAGTCTTGTTAGCTTCGGGTATTAGGCACGTGCTTGTGAGTTGTTACTTTCATTTCGTGCGACAAAATTGTCAGCAACCCAGTTTTGACTCCGACCCACGTCACGGAAAATGACGCTTTTGAAGACCCTGGAGGAATATTGGTGATAATTAATGTTTTTATTTTAAGATGGTTATACTCGCATATATATTTTTTTAAATAATCAAAGGCACGCATACAAAAATCGAAAATAACCAAAATCTAAGCATGGAAAAATCAAAGTTGGGGCATTGAAAAAACATTATAGTTGCTTGCTGAAAAAAAAGAAAAGGATGGGCATATTGGTCAACGCAGTAAAATTAATTTCCACCGATGACTGGGTCCTTGCTTAAAATACCTTTTTTGTATGCGAGGAAATTGTTGGCATTAAAAAGATCGAAGCGAGTGTGTTTATGGGTAGAGATGAGTAGGTAGAAGGAAGGAGGGGAGAGCTCGTGCCAGTGCCACCAAACCCGGCAGTGGCGGGGGAAAGCATGCAGAATTTGGAGCACAACTAAATTGAAGTCAGCAATCATCCGCTATTCATTCTCAATTTTTGGATATGTATTTGAAACGTGATTAGGTGGCGGAAGCACACATACAAGGCAACAAAAGATCCAAGTCGTGACTAGTAATAATGAATGGAGGATGTGGTAATTAAGAGAAAGGTGGGCACAGCAGAATGGAATTTATGGGGGGACGGTGGGAAATGATAATCTCACGGCCTCACCAACTTCCCTTCCCTACCTACCTCCTCTGGGCCTTTTGATTTGAGGAGGCACCATTGAGCCGTCTCCTGCGCCTGCCTTATCAACTCCCCCTTCTTCCTTCCTTCTTGTTTCTGTTGCCCCTCACATATCCCCTCTCAACCTTTCTCTTTCTCCCCCAATCGCCTGCAACCACAACCAGTAAGGCTACTCTTCCTCCCCCTCTCTCTGTCTTTCTCTTCCTTTTGCTTGCTTGCTTACTTACGTGTAACCTTTTTGTGACTTTCAATTGCAGTGGCTGCTCAAACTGAAACGGTGATGGTCGATGAAATCTCTTATCCTTCCAAGATCACTACTGCCAAGCCCCTTTCTCTTCTCGGTCATGGTCAGTTTCACTTTTAGTTTTAATCCCCGATTTCGTTTTCTTCTTCGGATTTTGTATCACTGTTCTCGCAGGTCAACGTTTCCTATTCCGACCCTAGATTGATTTCTTTGTTCTGACCAGGGATTACGGACATGGAGATTCACTTCCTCCAAGTCAAGTTCTACTCCATTGGGGTCTATTTCGAGCCCGAAATAGTGAATCACTTGCAGCAGTGGAAGGGGAAAACCGCCAAGGAGCTGGAAGACAGCGATGATTTCTTCGCTACTCTCATCTCTGGTACGTAACACACAATCCTAATCATGTATTGGTCTCTGTACGGAAAGCTTCCACATCTGGTAAAACGAAATTGAAACAAACTTGTGTCATTCTGTCGGTGCAGCCCCGGTGGAGAAATTTATCAGAATAGTGGTGATCAAGGAGATCAAGGGTTCCCAGTATGGAACCCAGATAGAGACGGCCGTGAGAGATCGATTGGCAGCAGAGGACAAGTACGAGGAGGAGGAGGAAGAAGCTTTGGAAAAAGTTGTGGAGTTTTTCCAGTCCAAGTACTTCAAGAAACACTCGGTCATCACATATTATTTCCCAGCAAATTCTCCGACGGCTGAGGTAAGTAAATTTGAGGAACAAGTAAACAGTGGGTTGCCAAAATGGATGGCCCTTTTCTAATTTGCAAAGGGTTGTGTGCAGATTGTGGTGTCCTTGGAGGGGAAGGAAGACTCCAAGTTCGTGGTGGAGAATGCTAATGTGGTGGATGCGATCAAGAGGTGGTACTTGGGTGGCTCAAGCGGTGTGTCCCCGTCAACCACCACATGCCTGGCCACCACTTTTTCTGCCGAGTTGTCCAAGTGAAGCCTGATTTTTGCGGCAGCATGTACTCAATCATACTTTCTCCGCCATTTCTGTCTTTCTAATGCCTCCTTTCCACTGCAATTAAGAATAATGTTAATCTTATGACGCTTCCTTGAGTTTTGTTGGCTTCTTGAATGGTTGGTGAAGCACCAGAGCATTATATGCCGTTGCCATAACCCCCTTGCTCGTGCGCATTTCAATGATGTGCCCACTGATGCCTTATTTCCTGAGGAGAATTAAATCTTGCTATTTCACTCACAATTTAATTCATAACAAAATAAATATATTAAATAATTCTGTTGTTAAAACTGAACTCGTCGGAGAAATATGACTTTACGCCGAAGGCAACGGGAGCAGGGCATCGTGAACTTGAAGAGAATTAAATAAAGGCGGTACCAGAGTGAAAACGTTGCAGTCCTCAGAAAAAGAAGTCACAGAAGCCATAGAAATTATGACTCCGGGCATTGGCGTCTCTTTGTTGAGAAGAACTGAGAGGAGCCCGAACGAGAATTATGACCAGCATGCTTTGCCCAATGGCAATGATCATTCTATTACATAGTTACTCCAGCGATAAATAGCTGGAGAATACAATCCCCTTCATCAAGTCTCCAACTCTCGATCCCTTTCCTAGCTTCGTTGTCAGAGACGATTCTCGTGCGTCCTTCACTCCTTCACTGAAGTCTAAATCGTGGCTTGTGCGCACTTTCTGGGCTCAGGATTCAGGGCCGCTTGCGAATGGCAAAAATAATGGGCTTGTTCAGGATACATAGGTCTCCGACCCAATATGAACTTGGATCGTGGTTGCCTTGCTTGGGGCAGAAATAGGACCATACCAACTATTCGTTCTTATTTTGAAATTTTATCATGAGCCTGTAGGCCCATTCTCTTTCGTTCGGATTTGCCCCTTGATCAATATTCCGCTTCCTTGTACCCCCCCCCCCAAAAAAAAATCCCCCTTCCTTTCGGGTGCTATATTTGACGCCAAGTAAACTCGTAAGATATATTTACATGATGGAGCAAATGGACGCGATACAATAGTGGAGACTGAGACTATAATTTAGCATAGCATTTGAGATGAACGCATCGTCCCTGCAATAATTAAATGAAAATAAGGTATAACGAGGGCTAGTGAGATTTTCATTCATGTAATCAATTCCCCCTGAATTTCAATAATATCTTCAAACGCTTATTTCTGCGAGGCCTTCATTCAAAGAGAAATTCTTACATGCTCCCAGTGTACCACCGTATCCATGCTCTGACAAATAAGATCATGACAACTCAATAGCTTTTATCTTATGTGTCAGCCTATGTGTCAACCATTCTCTTCCTATTATTTTAATCATTTATTTTTGAAAAACGTGCTGCTATCTCCTCCCTCTTCTTTCTCATGCGTCACTTTACTTTTACAAAAACTCTCACCCCTCTTTCTCACTTGCCATCTGCTCCCAGCTACACGCCTCGGTCTCTCTCTGCCCACCCACAAGCACGCCACTCTCCCTCCTCCTTCCTCCCTATCTCTCTCATTCTCATATTCTGTATTCCTTCATTCTTACTGTTTCCCACACATTTCAAGTCTGATTTTTTTTTTCAATCATAATATTTTATTTACCTTTTCTTTTTTTTTTTCAAAAAAAATAGAGTTGATGTTTCGTTCAACTCTTATTTTTTATAATATACTCTTGATTCTTTTATAATATCTCTACTTAACTTTAATTTTTTTATTCACACTTTTTGAACTCCTGATTTTTTTAATAATATCTAGATTTAACTCCAATTTTTTCATTCAGACCTTTCATTTATATTTTCCTAATCCTATTTATAAGTCACTTCTAACATGTTTTATATAAACCAAGAAAAATTTTGAACTTTATTAACTATCATTTAAAATTCAATAATATTTCAACTTTATCCCTATCTAATACTATCCCCAGTCCTAATTATAAGACCATGTTTATAGTCTATAAATATAAATAGAACTAGAGATAGTATATAATATACCTTATGTAAACAAAATCAATATAATAATAAATTAAAGGTAAAATTATATATCAATATAAAAAAAATTTCCCAGTATCCTGTAAATAGGACCAAAAAAGTAATATATTGGGAGAATCATCAGGGGTCCCAAAACAATTTAATTTTTAAAAAATTTTACTGATAGATAATCAGGCATGAATCTGTTGTTATTTTTTACTTTGAAATTTGTCATTTTATGTTCTTTAGTTATTAATTATTTTAATTCTATTCCTTAAAAGAAAACGTGAGAATAAAAAAACAGAATTATATATTACTTATATATATTTACCTTTCAATTCTATTTTTTTAAAAGAAAAAGGTCAATAAAATATTATGATTGAGAAAGAAATCAGACTTGAAATTTAAGAAATGAAGAAATACAAAATACGAGAATGAGAGAGATAGGGAGGAAGGAGCGGAGAGAGTGATGTACTTGTGGGTGGGCAGAGAGAGATCGAGGCGGGGAGCTGGTAGCAGATGGCAAGTGAGAAAGAGGATGAGGGTTTTTGTAAAAGTAAAGTGACGTATGAGAGAGAGGAGGGAGGTGATAACAGCACGCTTTTCAAAAATAAATGATTAAAATAATAGGAAGGGAATGGTTGACACATAGGCTGACACATAAGATAAAGTGTTGAGTTGTCATGATCTTATTTGTCAGAGCATGGATACGGTGGTGCACTGGGAGCATGTAAGAATTTCTCTTCATTCAAATGCCAACATATTTTTCTTAATTAGTCTATATTTACATTTAGCGGTAAAAGAAAGGGAAAATTGTAAAAAAAGACTTTGGAATTGCAAAAACGCAGATAGGGACCCTTGACAACTTCACTTTGGGTTTTGACAACTTCAGGGCATATTATTCTTGTCAAAACCCAAAGTGAAGTTGTCAATGGTCCCTATCTGCGTTTTTACAATTCCAAAGTCTTTTTTTGCAATTTCTCCTAAAAAAAACACTCGCCGTTATTTCTTAAAAAATGACGGGGCAGCCTTTTGGGCTTTAAGTAGTCCGGATTTGTTAAATATGTAGTATCAGCCCATGCATAACGATTCCTGGGATTGCCAATTAACAATAATTTGATAAGTGAGAGGGAAAGCACGCTGCAACTTGCACAGGAATTTGATTTCGATTCCCACAAAAAATTATGTCATTTCGAGACAATATTAATGAAATTGTGTGATGATCTGTCATGGGCTTTCTGAATATCTAATTTCAAAGCGCATAATTTTTCGTGCTTCCTGCTCTTTTGGATCTTGTTCATAACCTGGGCGGCCGAAACAGTTAATAGCGACAGAAATTACAGACCGTTTTATAAATCCTTTTTAGTTCTATGTAAAGAACTTTAACAGTGCTCAGCCTGGGGGTTTTTGTCATATTCCTTGAGAACCTTGGAGACTATACATTACGCTTAAAGAGAAAAAAAAATGTACGTTTGCTTACGCGGGTTTAAGCCAATAAAAGCCTAGATCATTTGACTGAAATCTGACGAAACTGCATGCTAATGATTTTGATAGTCTGGAATGCAAACGTCAAGACTTTAAGGGTTGCCAGCTTGACCAATTAGTTTCCTTTTGGTAAGCTTCATCTGTAGTGAACAGCCAAGTTGATGTGTACGTAGCTGTACAGCGTCAGTACTCAGTGGCTCGACGCATTATTATTCCTGCGATGGGACCATCTTTTGCAAGATCAAACCTTTTTTTTTTTTTTACCTCCTGAGAAATGAAGGCGTGGCATGAATAAATCATTCGCATTGATCTTGGGATTGAAGAAAAAAGGAGAGAAAAAGAGCCATCAAAAGGCTATGAGAAGAGGAAAAGAGAGGCGGTGGTGTGTAGGAAATGGGAATGGTCCAATTAGCAATGATGCCTTCGCTAATTGTTATTCTGAAGCCACAGCGTCTGCTCCTTTCTCACTACTTAAACCAAATCCACAAGGTAGTGCTGGAATGAGATTTCCATTTTCAAAGAGTGGGCCTTACAATGGTTAGGGAAGATCAATCAATGATTCTCCGGTGTTCTGTTCTATCTATATGCTCTTGTACTGGAATTGCCCATCAAAATCAAACACGATAAAGGAAAATGACAGTAGATTAGTATTGGTTCCTCAGATAACGATAGACTTAGCAAGTGACTCTCCTTTTATTTAATTTCCATCCCCTACTTTTCGTCAAGATTTCTACGAGAAACTGTTCCCAAATCTTAGCGTTAAAGCAACAAGATTGTTTTTCACCTTGGGGGTAGGCCTGTAGGCTCGTGAATTATGGGGAAGACATGTTGGCTTACTTTTTGGTTTTGAATCAATTTTCCAGCTATCCCTCCTGTCTCCCGAGCTGCTCCCCAGGCCGGTGTGGCACGAATCTGTTGTATACTTCAATCATCTCGTCGCACTTATCAGAATTATTTGGCGGTGGACTAAAACGAGAGCGAACCCGAATGATGCTTCGTATGATTGGTTATAACATAAGAAGAAAGATACGCTCCAGATTTTCGATTGTACTGATAGAGTCAGCGCGACAGCATAGAACGTCACGTTCCTTCGTCATGAAATACACTTTGTACAGATTCTACGGATAAAGGTAGTTGGTGAGTAGCCAGCCCAGATTATAACAAGTGAAGTGAAACGAAAACGGGTGGCTTTTCTCTTTAATTATGCCTTGTGAGCTGAACCGGACATGAACCGGGGTCCCAAAGCCATGTGTCTGGTTTTTGACAAAAGCTTCGAATAAAAATTGACTAGAGAGTGTGGCAATGCCTTCCACACGGAAAGTTGACAAGCTTTTGACTCTCTCTCTCTCTCTCGCGTTTATGCTAATTGTCTGGCTTCTGAATTAGCGCTATGCATTAAGCTGCTTCCAACTTTCTACATTCCATGAGCTGCTGATCACAGACTGAAATACAGAATGTGAGCTTAAACCTGCCTGTGATCTAAACAGAATTCACATTGATCAATTATTACGTATTAGTTTAATGTCCGTGTTTCCTCTGGAACAAAAATGCCATCCATCGAATTGCATTTCTTCCTTTGCATTTCTTTCAAACTTTTTACAGGTAATAACTAAGATTCACAACCCTTCCCTTTTAAAAAAGTAAAAACAGATATGATGTAAAAACACTGAACGGCCTCAGAAACCATCACCCATGAACTCAGTTTTGCTATACAATTCCCTAAGTGCATCGTGAACATAAAAATATCCAATATCAAAAGCTTTGAACAACCTTCATGTTACTGGGTGGTTCTGAAAGTGGAGTGCCTCGCCAGGTCAAGTTCGTAACAGTTGTTAGCCAGAGCCTAACTCTTTCTTTAACCTACGTAGAGCACTATGCGCCACAATTCAAACACAAAGGAGCTTTGACGGACGCATTCTGGTCAAGTGGTCTCATATATATTGGCAGCTTGGTGTTAGGCAGCCTGATCAGCAGGTACAGATACAGCCTGAGAAATGGTGGTTTCGTGAAGAGACTGCCTGCAAGTAGGGCAAGAGGAATGAGAAAGGAGCCATGTGTCTATGCACTTCACATGGAATCCATGGTTGCATTTTGGAAGCACTCTCACTTTCTCTCCGTCCACGAACTCCCCTAAGCAGATTGGACAGTCTGCGCCTGTAATTTCAGCTCCTGATGAACCACACACAGCTATAGGTATCTGACGCAACGCGCTCTTCTTCAGCCCTTTCGCAGCTAAACGAGCTGCCGCCTCCTCTGCTGTCTCAAAAGCCAACCTTCGGCTGCATCTGAGAGCGCATCGTACTATTGAATTCAGACCCAGAGCACATATTAGTGCACAGAGCAAGGCTGCTAATATAATCACCATGTTGGTGTCAAAATTAGCGTCACTTGTATAAGTCATCCTCGTCCTGTATACGCTATCTGGTGGGATTGGGCTTGAATCATGATCCAGCAGAAGACGGCGAGCACGATGATGAAGAGACATTGTTTAACTTCAATAGCAGAGGCTCGTAATTAACCTTATGTTATCTGATGTGCAGAATTTTTCTAGCGATGGATGATTTTAAGGCTAGGTTGCAAGGATTCTGTAAGTTTGTTAAGAGGAAGACGTGTGGGAGGGAGAGAAAGAAGGGTTTGGGTTTCTCTTTTCTTATAGGTTTTTCCCCCGCTGGATCCGATGGCATAAGGCAGAGGTCAAGGCAGTTTGATGAGGACTTTCAAAGAAGCATCTTTCCGGTCACAAGGACAAGAGAAAGGGTGGTCAGCAGTACTGAATAGCATCTCTGGCTTTCATGTCAGCGATGGCCTGTGCACACTATGCCCCATCAAAACCTTCTTTTGCAAAGTTACATATACGTGGGCTGGCAAAAGCTATCATATAATTATAGAAGCAGGATGTGAATGAAGGTTCTGAAGATTCTGAATTGGTGTTGCCCGGAGAGGAGTGGTTGGGGATTTTCTTACTATGCAGAAAATAAAATATGAGAGAGAGAGAGAGAGAGAGTTTTGTGATGCACGAGAAAGGAGAGTGGGAGGGTGTAGCCTTTATGTTTTGTGCGAGAATTAGGGGAGTGGTTGATTTCAAGTGCCTTCTAGTGTTTGGATGTTGCATAGGCATCTGGGACACAGCTTGGTCGGTGTCTTCTTCCATTTATTGTTTTTGTCAAAGGCGACATGCAGAGGGTTAAGTTTTAGAATCAGAAGGGGAAAAAAGGTAGTTGGAGGAGCATCGGTTATGGCAACTGATCCCACTGAATCACTATTTGCTTATTTTTCCTTAAAATACTACCTCCGATCTTTAATATAAGATCTCGTTTGACTTTTATTTTGGTCCTAAATATAAGACCCCAATCCATTTTGTTTTTAATATTTATGTATTTTTTTCCAAGATAATCATTCTAACAATAATAGTTATAGCCATTACACTTGATTAGTAAGGATATTTTAGGAAAGACAACACCTATTTATGACAAATAACTAACTTAACTCCTTTCCTTAATGTCCTCAAATTAGTCAACTGGTTTTTATAATTAGCACCGGAGGTAGTATATGCTTATTCTGAGTACCAATTCCTTATCCACTCCACCCGAAGTTATACATATATACGCATACAAAGCTATTAGTTTTTTTTGTTTATTTCCTATCCAGCGTCCATCACTTGATTGTAATGTTTGAACCACTGTCAACATTATCATTTTCTTATTAGACAAATGTTATGGCAAGGTTAGTTGATTAAGTAAAACCCATTTTGGACAAGTAAACGACAACCCCAGATCTTACAAGTCGAAACTCAGCCACGACTGGTTCAGGCACTAGATTTTCACTTGATACTTTATACAGATCCAAACAAGCTAAGCATTTGCATAATTCACTCTAGCCATGCAGTGCTCATCTCAAAGGACCAGTAACCGTTGTGGATGAGGCGATGGTGAAAGAAACCATCAGATAGCTAGCTGTTAAGTGTAAATATCTGTTTGTCGTGTTTCATCAAACCGGTGAAGAAAGAAAGTAAGAGAAATTTTCTGGGGGTACTTTGAATTGAGACCGAGAACAGAAGTCATGTGGGAGAGTGATGATGGGGTCACTCCAAAGGCAAATGAAAAAGGTCCACATGGGTCACAGTCTGAGCAGACCGTGATGGCCAATGTGAGAATGCCGAAGGGACCCCAAGGATTGACTTAACATACTCCACACAAGTTGCATCATCAGACCCATATTAAATATTCTCGCCAACTTTGCTAACGCATCACACGGAAATGATAAAAGTCACATTAAGCCAATAGAGTTTTGTTGGGTGTGTCTCGCAATTGGGAAGACCCCACCGCAAGGCAACTGTTTAAAACCACAAGCTTGAGGAGGTCACATGGGAGAGAGGCTATCTCAGTCGGAGATGTGTTTCTATGATTGGGTCTATTTTGCAGTCCTGGTCTCTCGCTGTGGCTGCATGCAGCCCCAGTTGTGTCACTGATAATTGATTTTCTGCGATGCCTCTACTGTTTCTCCAACAATCCTCTCAACCTTTTTTCTAATGGATTTTACGATGTATGATAATCTCGTTCTAGGGGTTTCACCCTAACTTTTGCATATATGGTTATGTATCTTGTACACTAATATATCTTCAGGCCCGACAAAAAAAGGATTTGTGACGGCAAGATAAGTTGGATCTCGAATGCATAGTGCCACGCGCTGCCATCCCTTTTGAGCCCAAAGTCAAATAAGCTTAGTCATTAAATAGACGGGGTCCTCTCAGGAAGGACCCAAAAAGGAGAAAAAGGAAAATAGAGACCTCACAGTCGTGGGGGAAGCACACTCGGAGTCCGATACAAAGGTGTTATGCATGGGTGAGTCAAAAAGAGGGAGGGAATGATTCTATGTTAGAAGTGGCGAGGAAAATTGAAGGCATTGAAATGGAAGTAACATGTCTTTAATTATGATGGTTTTCTCTCTTTCCAGGCTGTAATGGAGACATTGCTCGGCCAGAGTGCATTGAACAAACCGAATTAACCTCAAAAATAATGATATCCGCAGATAGTTGTCCGTGTTTCAAGCTTTGCAGGGTCATCAGCAGACTTTGCCTATTCTTTTAGTTTCTTCCCTCTATGTCACCGCATTTCCTAATCCCGACGCATACGCCACATAAGCTTTTCCCTTTCACATCACTAAAACGACACCTTTCGCTGCTTTGTTTTGCTCTCGTCTTTAGCATTATCTTCATTTCCTGTAACTTCATACGATGTATTGTGTTACGAAGAACTTGTAAAGTAGACTCATCATATTTGAGATCAGGATACAGAGTGATGATTGATGGCGGGCACTCACTTGAAGATAACAGAGCCGCCTTGAGTTTGTACCTTGCAGCTTTGGAAGGCAACAAGTCTGGTCCGAACCCTGGGGGTGGGGTACTTCCTTCTTCTGACGTCGGCAACCTGATCCAACGTGCAATAAGATTGTCGCAGTTTCCTCTCCGTTTATCATCTTATCCTGTTGTTAGAGGGAACAGGACAGTGAAGAAAATTCAAATTCCTCTCCGGTGATAGATTCTCTTGGATTGCGAGCCTTGCGAGGGCCGATGCTTCCGCCCATCCCTCGACCATCTCAGAAATTGGGCCCCGTACTCCGGCCCATTTTCCCGGGCTAACTAGGCCAGCCTTGAAATCCTTTGGGTTGGACCTTTGGCAGTTCGAGCGCGATTGGTCACGTTTAAAGTTCCACTGGGTTGGGCTTTCAATTGTTAAATGGGGCCTTTTGTTGTCGCCGGTTTAAACGGTTGCATTTTCTTTTTTTTGAAAAAGAAATTGTTGAGAAAAGGACTTTAACAGCTGAGTAGCGTAACCATGCTTCCTTATGTACTATGACCATCATAATAAAGTTGTTGCAAGCCACTTCTCTCTTCCTTTTGGTGATGGGCTTGACTTGGACCCCTCAGCCTCAGGCATTTTAATTTATTATGTATCAGTGTTGTTGCATTTCATTTGTCGGTCACATTGCAGGAAAGAACCGAGTCGCTCATCATGCTCTTTGTTTATACTTCACTACACCAAATAGTCAGGCTAGCAGCCTTCAAAATTTGGAATGGCAGACTGGTAAGAGCAAGACAGTAACTAACACACCTACCAGCCCCGTGCGCAGAACCACATTGATTAATAATCTCATTTAAAATCTTCTTAATCGCAATTTCTACAGCTTCTCTTGAGCGCAGTTCATAATATTTTACTAAAATGGTTAGAAGTGCCTTGCAACAAAGTGGTGGGAGGATACATGTGGGACCATCATCAAAGGTGTCGGTAGTTTGTGGCCTCACGAGAGGCAGAATCTTGGTCACCCATATCGAGGGAGGTGCACGTGGCAGTGTTGTACACAATCTGCACCACACCTCACTGCCTTTCTTCTGTGTGTCCATTTGCTCGGTCAAAAAAAAAAACTGCCCATTTTCACTAGTTTGCCATGAAATGAATACATAAAGCCATTAGAATCATAGGACCAACTGAACCAGACTCGCATATGGTCCCTAAACGAATGAGTATATACAAGCGTCACTAACAACAAATCCCCACCCCTTCCTGCAAATTAAATCTCATTCCAACTCAAACTCCTTTCACAATTCTTTCCCTCCATGTTAATTTCAAACGCCATCGTGATCAGTGGCAATGTTGCAAGAAGGTCCTCCATGTACAGGCCGGCGGTGTCTTGTTTCCTCGAGGACACCACACTTTTTTCCCTCGCCTCTTTTTTGCTTTTTGGACGTCCATTCTCCCCATTTTTCTCTCAAACGCATTGACACTTGGCTAGCTGGTTTGGATTTTGCATATTGACGTGCGTTATTCTATAAAATAATAGTTGTTAGTTTTGTTGAGTGTGGTGAAGACGAAACATTTTTTTGACTTGTTAGCTAGACACCGAAAGTCAGTGACCGAGTGATATTATAGGCTGCATAATATTTCACCTCTTGGGGATTCTTTTAGAGAGAGAGAGGCTAAATGAAAGTTGATAACCGATAACACAGATTGCTTGAGATGCGCGAAAGATTGAGGCTTGCTTCGCCTTCATTCATCGTCCATGGTCTCCTCTTTTCTGCTACGGTGATTCGAAAGGCACGTTAGTGGTGTCGTCATGTGAAATTAAATTCTCGTAATGGAAACAAGAGATTTCTCTGAGATTCTCACTTTTCATGTTGTCCCTAATTAAATCTTCTGATTCATTCATTCACATACATATATAAATATATGGGTTACACCCGGCTAATGGTTGTTCACGGCTGTTGATATTGTGGAATCTGGAGCATTGCGAGGAAGAGAATCCTAAATGGTGGTGAAAGGGACGTATGAGATGAAATGGAGCGGTAAGAGCGGTAGTCGCATGTGATGCGAACATGGTGGGTCCCCCTTCAGATTTGCCTCTCCTTTTTCTCTACGAAACCCCTTCCTTCTCTCTGCATATTATTCATTATCACATGCTCCCAAAACGCTGCATTTATTCTTGTCATTCTTTATAAAGGAAAAAAAAAATTAATTTTCCCCCCTAAAACGATAACTAAATCGCTTTGAAAAAGATAAATTTGGCGAAGCTTGCCTTTTATATTTGCTGATGGGAAAACGGCTCCAGGATGGGTTACGACAGCCGACAAAAAAATTACATATAGGATTCTGTAAATGGAGATGACTCAGAAAGTAAGGAAACTTGAGAAATGGAAAGGGGTGTGTGGTCATGCATGTGGCTAAGTTCCTTTCGAAGGGTTTGGTTTATGATGATGGCACTAAATCCTTTTAGCATCCAATAAATCCTGTGATTCTGAAACAGAGCAGGGGACGCATGTGAAATCGTGATACTTGCTTTCTGAGGATTTCCGTGACTAATTTGTCCTCTTAATGCACAGCAACACTGAAGTGAACAGACGACACCACACAGAGGATTGCAGAGGAGGGTATTTTGGGGACACAACAACACACACTGCACGAAATTATATTCCAATTTTAAATCCCAAAACATGCCCGTCCGGCATCCGGTTTTGAACAAAAGAAGTAGCTGAGGCGCTTAATAAGAGGCATCGTCTCTACTTAAATTCTGGGCAAGCCGCCGACCATATCCATCTCCAGCACACCAAGGTGGACACGCGTCTCAGTCTCAAAGCTTGCTAGCTACTATTAGATTACAATATTATTATAACCCACAATTAGTGCAGGCTTGACACCGTGATTTTAGGGGATTATTGTTAGAAAACATCAAAGTAATCATGCTCATAGCAAATAAGCATATCTAGAGAGCATGTGCCAAGTGGGGCCGTAGCTCAAGCAGTTGGTAGTCTAACAGAAACACATGCATGTGCGCCTTTGATCCTCTGCTCGTATCGCCTCCAAATGTGAATCCGTTTTCGTGGCTTTGGCCTTCTCACGCTAGCTTCTTTGTCTCTTTCATCGACAGTCATCTCACCTCTCCTATATAACCAAACAACCAGGCCCTTTGCCTACCATCTCAACCTCTCCTACCCAAACTCCCCCGTCCCCAAGCAGCATCCCCAGTATTCGCAATGGCTCTTTCACCATTCTCTGCTATCTCTCTTGTTTTCTTTCTTCTTCATCTTCCAAGTACTTTTGGTGACAATGGAGGTTGGCAAAGTGGCCACGCCACATTTTATGGTGGCGGAGACGCATCCGGCACAATGGGTAAGCTTTAATGATTGTCACTCACGGAAGGTTGAAAAGTGCAAAAAGAAGATACAACAATCATTTCATTTCCTTTTTTCTTGAAGTTCTGACGCCACCACCATGCATTACTATAGAAAAGACCAGGCCTTTTCACGTATCAGAAAAGAACTGGGTTCCTCTTCTCATCATGTTAATTATTATTACTGGTGTTGCAGGGGGAGCTTGTGGGTATGGCAATTTGTACAGCCAGGGTTACGGGACAAACACGGCAGCACTGAGCACAGCTCTATTCAACAATGGCCTCAGCTGTGGGTCTTGCTACGAGATGCGATGCAACGATGACCCCAAATGGTGCCTTCCCGGAGTCATCACCGTCACCGCCACCAACTTCTGTCCTCCGAACTACGGTCTGTCCAATGATAATGGTGGGTGGTGCAACCCTCCGCTGCAGCACTTTGATCTTGCTGAGCCTGCTTTCCTGAAGATCGCTCAGTACAAAGCCGGCATAGTTCCCATTTCTTTCAGAAGGTAAATGCTGAAAATAAAATTGTGGTTTTTATGTTTTTTATTGCTTCCCCATTTCATTAACACGTACGGTTGCTTGGTTTGGGGGGTGAAAACAGAGTGCCCTGCGTGAAGAAAGGAGGGATCAGATTCACGATCAATGGGCATTCGTATTTCAACTTGGTTTTGATTTCAAATGTGGGAGGAGCAGGGGATGTACACGCGGTTTCGATCAAGGGGTCAAAGACGGGGTGGCAATCCATGTCAAGAAACTGGGGGCAGAACTGGCAGAGCAACTCGTACCTGAATGGGCAGAGCCTCTCGTTCAAGGTCACCGCCAGTGATGGCAGAACCGTCACCAGCAACAACGTTGTACCTGCTAATTGGCAATTCGGTCAGACCTTTGAGGGTGCGCAATTTTAGGAGTTTCTCATCATCCCCTCCTCCTCCAAGATGAGACACTTCCATTCTATATGTAAAATTGAGCATTGTTTCTTTCTTAGATTAGAAAAATGCCAACATGCCAATGTGGCCTCTAATGGCTGATGCTGTGGTGACTGTAGGCACCCGCAAGGCCTATCTATAATCTATATATAGTATTGAGAGTATAAATCAAATTTCCATGATATATTGAGATTATTTTTAATAAATATTTTGGCTTAAATCTATTATATCAGTTTTAAAATTCAGAAGCCACTTGGTAAGACTAATGCTACGTGAATGGATGGACATTCAGAGGCTTACAAATTACAATTAATGACGATTTTATATTTATTTTTACAACTGTGGTCTGAGTAGCATCTTGGCAACTGGGCGTGAAGCGGCGAAAGCGAAACAGTCCTCCTACGACGCTTACTATATATGATCTGCCTTTTCAAAAAGAGAAATCATTTCTTGGGTGCAATGTCTTAAGCTAATGTGCACCGATGCTCTAACCATGTGAAACCGACGACGCAAGGTCTTACGTGAGGGATGATTGCCGAATGAATGCGCTGACTCAGCGAAGCCAAAACTAATGCCATGTTTTTGTCTGCAGTTGATTGTAATTTTTTATTCCTAATGCATTCCCCACGTTGGTGCATGTCAATGTCGAATTTGGAAGATTTTTCAGGGTTTGTATGTGCTTTGCACGTTCACTATTATAATTAACATTTAGAAGTAAGCGGGCCTTCGTTTTTTTTTTTTTTTTAAACAGTATGGAACCGATGTATATACTTTTTTAAGAGAAGAATGTAATTAAATCATATGGATAAACACATGAACCTGAAGAGAGCACTGTACCCTGTTTGAAACTCAGATATGTTTATACATAGCCAGCTATCTGTAATTGACTTTGATTTTAAAATGATCATGGCTTCCTTTAAATCGTTACTATTTCATCCTGACAGTGCAAGAGGATATCCGTATTCGTTAAATAGCTATTGCCATGGTTATAGTTGTTCGACTACTTGAAATAATTATAGCACAAACTAACTTATCCTGTTTCTTTCTTTCAGCTTGCCTATATGCGGTCAGCAACACGTATATTCTTTTAACCATTTTCTTATTTACATGTTTTTGTAGTAAAGTCAAAGATGAGATCAAACTGAAATTCAACCCAATTTTATTCAAAAATACTCAACCCAATTCTTTATTTTTTTTTTTTTTTTTGGGTACCATAGTTTGAGTTCATCAAAACTTCATTTCGTTAACTTTGGAAGAAAATGTTTTTAAAATTTAAAATTAAAATATAAAATATTTCTTTAACGGCCCGATAAAGAAATAAATTATATTCAAAACTTTGTTTGAATGAAGATGAAACCTCAATCAAATTTACAGCCGTGAATTCAGTATAGATATTATGCTGGCGAGGGCAGGTAAGCAGCTGAACAATTCTGGTTGTCAGATCCAACACCAGATTCCTTGAACCCATCTAAAGCCATTTGCCAGAATGAGTGCTACGGATCAGCACCACAAAGCCATAACTTGACTTTGGTTTGAAACCTCACACAAATTGCTCACTTCAGCCTCTGCTTGCGGAGCCTCTCTAGTTCCTTGATCATTTGCCAATGTTCTAGAGACAGGCTGGTCTCACCAAAGCTCAAGGACATAAGGCGGCCCATTGTTAGCCATCTATAGAGCGACGAAAATTACAGCTCAGTACTGTTATTATACAAAAACAAAGATAGCAATACAATTTAAAACAGTCAGCCAGTAACCTGCTAAAATCTTGGGGATTCAAGCTCCTGTCTGCCTGTCTTGCCGCAACTAAATCATTTTCTACCACCTGAAAATTTATGCGTTCTCACCGTAAAACCAAACTATGCTATACATGTCTCTGTCAAGCAAATTGGGGAATCCTAATAATGAAGGCACTAGAGCAATGGGCATGATGCTTTCTAATTAGTGCTACAAGGGAGCTACCCCTTAGATCCCTCCATAGATATAAGTCATGAACCACAACGAATGCAGATGTGACTTGGTGGTTGGCTCTCTATGCTGACAGCCAAGAACAATACTAACCAAAATTGCTGACCAGCTTGTCTTAAAAGAAGATAAGCTCATCAAAACCGTAGTCGGTAGGACTCGTACCTTTTGCATTTCTGATTCGATAGAATGTGGCAGTAGTCTAACAGTAGCCAAATACCACCTCCAGGCTTCCGCAGCTTCTGCAACTATAGCTTCAGAATGATTTACTTCAGAAGGTCGAAAAGGTACAATTACATCAGCTGGCAAGATATTTGATTTCCCCTCGGACAAAACTAACAGTTGGACATCAGCTGCCATTTCCATTTTATAGTACTTGAAATCATATTCCACCTGAAACACGAACTACCCATATGTCGGCTTCTATACTTCCACGTTCAGAAAAGAAATTGCAAAAAGAGAACCAAAGCATTTCTAAACACCACGGTGAGTTGATATCGTCAAATATAGGGGACCAAAGCATAAACAAAAAACAAAATCTCACCTGCTGCAACTCCACCAAATTTTTCAGCAACCTTGCATTCTCCACACCCACAGAGTTGAGGGTTCCAGCTTCCAATTTTGTCTCATCAAAAATTACGTGTGAACCTTCAGCTAGTTGCAGCACTCCAGTTACCAATCTGTATCATAATATTCAACACTAAAATTTGTAAACATAAATGTAATACAAGCACCTCATTAAGTATTATAATTCATGATCACCTGTTAGTATCATAATCCTTTCTTGGTGCAAGTGAAGCAGCGTTAAGATAGTCCACTGTAAGGGGTATACAACAACTGAAAGGCAAGAGATTCCTGATACTAGTGGTAAGTTGATTTCCAAATACAGACATTATTTCTTTGCTAAAACAAGTTAAATTCAGGGAAAGCTTGCCCACAGCAACAGTGTCTATCCTAGCGTGCACCTGGTCAAGAACAGTCCATGATACAAAAAGTTTCAAGGGTATTAGGATTAGAATGAGAAGCATACATGTTTGATATGAGTTAGGAGTAGAGTCGTGAATTATATAAAGGATAAAAAGAACAAATTAATAAATGTAACATTCACAGAGGCATACAACTGAACGAAATGTTCAGTTTAAAACAGCATACCCGAGATAGGAGATGCAGCAACATGAAATGTGCTGCTAAATCATCATTTCCGAAAACAGATGTGAGATGTCTTAACAGACCATTCCTAATCTCTTTAATCCAATCAGGCTTCAACTGGAAGATTCAAGATGCCAAATATACGATTAAAACTCCAATTCTTTGAGTGTTAAAAACGTCATATGCATGTATAAGATGAAATAAATTGAAGTTAACTCTTAAAAATCTGTACTTAGGTACACAAGAAAACTACCTCTATAATGGGGTTATTCTGAAGGAAGTCCTTAGCTGCAAGTTTTCTGTGAATAATACAATGAAGATATGGTACCTGAAACATGTAAACAAAAAAAACAAGGACTTGTTCAAAAACTGTACACAATGTTGCCAAAGGTAGATTTAGACTCCACGAATGTAAAAAGGTAAACTTACCTTGCTGGCGGGTAAATGGGGCATAGGATCTTCAGAAAACCCATTTGAAAAATCAAGGTCTTCATTGTCCACTTGAAGCTCAGGAGCACAAGAAAGCACACCAACAAACTCGAAAACGTCATTCAGCTTTAAGTCAGACTCCGGACAATCATATATCTGGCATGGCAAAGGTCGGGGGGAATCAAATAGAATTATGATAATTTGAAGAATTGGAAACAACAGTGAATAAATCTCAGGCCAATATTAAAAGAAATCCTGTAAGACAGAGAAAGGAGACTACTTTTTACCTTCACGAGACAATGAGGTAAATTACCATCAAGATTAGGCACCAAACTTATACTGGAGCGAGGAGCCTCAGGCACAGGTGATTGATAAGCACAGGAAGACTGTTCGTCTGCTCTCTGGAACATGGAAGATCAAATCGCAAAGGGTCCATCATAAAAGTTGCACCAATAATTGTTACTGTTACGACTTACGACTAACGTGTTCTAGTCTAAATATACTGGCAGACTTCCAATTTTTCATGGCACTTGGCCTCTAGCAAAACATATTACCAAGACTGCGCCTGACCAAAGAAATTCTGGTTTCAATTATTATTAATTTGAAAATAAAACGTATAAGCAAGCCAATGAACAACTAAAACTAGCGAACTCGAGTTCCTATCACTTTAAGCGATCGATTAAGGTGGTCTTGAACGATTATTTGGCAGCAATAAAATTAAGAAATAAAAGCAGAAAAATGATGAAAATTCTATATACCATTCTTTTGGTATTTGGAGAACCTTGAACCTCAGTATCAAAAACCTGCGAATACAATAACCAGTTATTACTTATTAGTGTTTGCATTTTAGTCCAAAATCATAAATAGGTGAAAAGCTCATATCAAAAAGTCAAAAGTCAATACTCAAATAATACGAGAAAACATAAGGCCAGAAAATACAGGCATCTCCTCGCAATCAGTAGACTCATGATCTAGTCTCCTCCGCTTTTGCCTTTGTTGGTATGCCCAATCCATTAATTTATTCTTAAATGCTTCTGACGAAACTTCGGCCCATGCATTCAGTCCTGGGACCTAATAAAAAGAAAAATAAATAAGCAAGCAAGCTTGTAACTTAAAAGTTAACTCATTATGCAAGTCATGATATTTCTCCCCAGTCCTCACTCATGCATTTGCATATTTTCTCCACTTATCAGAATGATAACTGAAAATGGAGAATTGAACTAGTCAATGAATGATACCACTCAGGTAACACATCACCAAATTGAACTAGTTCTAACGTAGTTCTTGGCTAACGATTCTATACACAGAGTTAAGTGAAACGAAACCATAAGTTCTTTTCCCTCTCATTCTATCCCTCTCAGGCATACACACAAAAACTTTCATGTTATAGGTGTCAAGAATATGGTACTTCTAAACGACTCACTGGAACACAGTATAATAGCCGGCGCTCCCAGAGTCGCGTATCTGCTGAGGAACTCATAGGACAATGTAAAACATCCGTAAACTTGTTGGTCCTCCACAATGAACCATCCTTTAATTAAAAACAGTGGCATTTCCGTCAGAACTAGACTTAATGTTTGAAGTTGATTCCCAAATTTGCCCAGATCACAGTTGGAAATACCTTATAAGCCCCAACATAAAGTTCATTTCCAAGCATGTCCTGTATCATTCCACGGAATCGAACTAGAGTATTGGGTTGTGCCCATCTGACTGTGGAAGGAGCCAGAACTGGGACCTAAAATACACATAACAACGGGAAACTTTAATAATTTTTCAATAGATTAGAGCAGGCACGCCTATAAAAAGAAAACCACAGCCACTGTGTTTTATTGTCTGAAGATGTTCTCTTATTCAAAAGCAATGGGCTTGCATCAGAAAGACATATTATAAACTCAGCATTGCTATAAAATTTAAGCCTAACAGGTCAAAAACTAGTACGCAACTGGAGAATTCACTTCTGTTAACTTAAAACAAGCCAGACGTGGCTCTAAGCATATTATGACCGATAGATTCAGGAAAAACAAGGAAATCGTACTACTTGCGATTAAAGCCTGAAAGACTGGAGTGGACTTAACCTGGGAGAGACCGCCCTGATCAACAAGGAAGTGGCGGAAGAGATCGACAGCGCCCCAGTCCTTGCCGTCAAAAGAGGCAAGGTCAGAACCCGACGCGATCGCCTCCTCGAATGTTATTCTGACGGCACCGAGAGGGTTCACCAGAAAATCGTACGCCGGGCCTACCATTTGAGTCTTGGATTGTCAATTGCTCCCAGTCTCACACTATGCCAAACGGATGTTCGGAACCAGCATTCCCGCCAATCAGAGCTTTTAAAGTCGTTTTCCCGCCAAATCGTTGGGGTCCGTTCGCTCCCGCCATTAGTGTTTTTGGGCCAACGCCCAACTGTTACCTCCCTGTCTGCCGCCAATCCGAGTTTTTTTGGATCGGTTTGCTCCCGCCAAATCATTGGATTGCTCCCGCCAAATCATTGGATTGTATGGATTGAGTTATAAGTGGTTTTTCAAACATGATTTATAAAATATGAAGTAAGTATGTGAAGAAAATTTTGTCTTAATTCACGTAAACTTGTTTAAAATTCTGTTTTAAACAGAGCCCCAAACAAATTCATTAATACTAGTCAAAGCCTTGGGCCTGTGAATAATAGAAAAATACTAGGGCTCTGGCTTCCATACAAAATTGAAAACAATACTACGTTTTGTGTTTTTATGGAAATAATTCACTGATTAAAAATAAATGACATTTTTGTTTCCTCAAAAAAGAAAATGATAGTTTTATATCAAATAAAATAAGACGGACAAAGTAAATTATGTGAGCAAATAATGTAAGGGATTAAAAAGCCAATTAATTCATTTGAACAATATTTCTCCGCCTTATCTCTAACTTGTTAAATAAAGTTTCCTCCGTCGAAACGCATTCAACAATTTAGCCTATTCAAAATGCATTAAATAATTCATTATATTTGTTGAAACAAGAAGCCAGCGCAATAATGAATATTTGCAGTTGATTTTTCCAATTAGTTGAAACATGCATTATGTTTTACGCTGGCCTCTCTCGATCAATACATATACCAAATTCTGTACATTTTTCTATGGGAACCATTATTTGAATTTGGCAATCTTGCACCGTTTGTCCCTAAATTTGCAGCGGTTTCATTCTATCTGCTCAGCTTTATTCTGTGTTTTTTTAAAATCATTTAACCTTGAAAATACGTTCAAAAGTTTCCTTGCCTGCACAAAATATGGCTGATTATTTGATAGAAGAAGAAGCTATTCTTTTTTTGGCGGGATAGGAGAGTTTCTTCTTTTCTCTGTCAAACATCCCCACCTGGATACAGTCTGGTTGATTTGATCTTGCTTGTACCGCGTGCATCTCCGCTTCTATTTTCGCAGGAGTCATGCTGCGTGTTTGAACTATATATTTTATGTGATCTCATGGTTTGTTATCATTGCGCTCTGTAATGCGACCTGATCCTGCTGCCAATCTTAATATCCGTCACAACCAAAGGACGCAGTCTTTTGTAGTTATTTTGTAGGGTCTATTATCTTGGCATAGATATCTTAGTCATTGAATAATAGAAATATTCTATTGCTCAATCTGAGCCTGAAGCATATGGACAACTAAATCGACGCAAAGAGGAAAGGCATGAAGTTATCATTTTGGTATAGAACACAGTACAAAAGCAAAACATATAGACGTAATTGCGTAATGGTTTGAGAAATAAGAAAATGAGAGAAAATGGAGTGTGAATTGGGGTAATGGGCAAGGGGATTGGATGGATCATCGGGAGAACAATCTGGTAAAGAAGTTGCCGGATTTGGATTTCTCTAAACAAGCCACATGAACATATCTTCCAAACTTGTCCACCTGCCTCGCCTCGCCTCTTGTATCCTCTCTGCATATCTTGCACGTTTTGTCAACCCATCCCTCCTCCACATATTCCCCATCCACTGCATCCATTCATTTGAGTGCGTTAGGATTCAAATATGCACCACGAAACTACATATCGTAGAACATCACTCACCTTCAACATACGATTTGAAGAAATCCTTGTACGTCCCTCCAATTTTCCTCCTAAGAGCTCCATACTTTCATCAGAGAAACAGCAGTTCAGTTAGGAGAAAAAGGTACCGCAAGCACACAACCAAAATAAAACGAGAGTTTTTGAAGAATTAGGACACATATATACCTGTTCCCTGGTCATCCTTTCTCCTGACTTTGTGGCCTCTCTGGCATCTTCCAGAAGCTGGGCATCCTCCGCCGATCTCACCTGAGAAAAATCCAGAGCTTCGGTGACGCTAGAAAACAGAGATTTCTTGTTCGACTTGGGTGCTTCGCTCCCTTGCTTTGCCGAAACTGAGAATTGGAAGCTTTTATTGAGCCTCTGATTAGGCGAGTTCTGAACAAGTCCACGATTTGACAGGAAGGCGGTGGAAGGAGGGGTCAAGTATAGAGTTCCCACACCCATTTCCAGCTTCTTTTAGGAACTCAGGGTACGCTTTAGCAGCCTGCGTTCCTTATATGTTTGGTCTGGGAAGTGGGGCTGCTTGCTCTGAGCCTCGTGGACTTCTTAAATTTGTCCGGCGCACTGCCACCACTCGCAAAACCTGGTGGTTATTGGCAGGCTATGTGGCGCGCTGGGGCACTCTAAAAATGAGAGGAGCTCTTTCTTCTGCTTCTGCGTGACTTTATTGTCACTCAATTATCTCAGAAAAAATTGTACTAAGGTCCCACTAAAGATATTAAATGCAAAAAATTCTTAAAATTATTAAATTAATTTGAAGTCCTAAGAGACCATTTTGCAAGAGATTCCACTTGTTCAATTACTAAATTGTTCTTATATTTTTTTAAGGATATATTGATGACTAAAAAGGCAGTAATTAACAATTTAATGTGCAATAATTAACAACTAACACAATAAGTATTAACAATACATTTTCTCAACGCATCACAAAGATTTAATACATGGGTTATTAATAACTATCATGATAGTTGGTAATCATTGCATCTTAAGTTGTTACAGTTGCCAATATATGCTTAAAAAAAGTTAGAGCAATTTAGTAATTGAACAAGTAAAATTTTTGGCAATGAGATGTCTCAGGATTTCAGATTAATTTAATGACTTCAAAAGACTTTTTTGTATTTAATTCTCTTGAGTAGGATCCTGTTGCAATTTTCGTGTTATCTTACAAGAACGTAAATCCAACCCCCCAAACAAAAAACCCCACCAAAATATCAAAAGAATTTGGAGTAAGATACTACTTTTGATTACTATAAATAAGGTCTTATAATTAGGACTGAAAATAGCACCAAGTAGATATTACATTTCCTCCCTATTCTTTTTGAACCTCAAAGATCCAGCTGCTCTTTCAGTATTTATAATTTTTATAAAATAAGTCTAAGGAAATTAAAGAGAAAAAAAAAAGAGAGATATCGAGAATTCAACATGCCATCGTACAAACCAGTTTTTACAAGAATTCATCCTTCCAAACGTAGGGCTGTAGGTGACTGATTAGTCTCAAATAAGCTTTTTAAACAAATTTTCAAATATGTTAGACTTGTAACAAGCCTTATGCAAGCTAATAGGCTAAACTCAAGGCGTCATGTCTAGTTTTACCCCGCTTGAATGAGAAGAAAAGTTGGGGAGAAAGAGAATGGAGAGAAGAGAAAGCTGGAAGGAAAATATTATCATTCATCTTGCTTGGATGAGTGAGAGAAAACAGAAAGAAAAGAAAATGTATAAATATCAGAATAACTAAAATGCCCTTATTATAATTAATTGGTAAGGAAACTAAATAATTTAGCAAAAAAAAAATTATTTTTCTATGTAAAAATAAAAAGAGCATAATTTTCGAACTTAATTACAAAACCAAACTCGTCTTCACCATCAAGGACTCCCACAGAGACATCGTTACTGCTGTTGCTGAAGGTTTTCTTCTTCTTTTCTCTACCTCTCTCTCTCTGCTTTCTTCTTCCCTTCCTTTGCTTTATCATCTTCATAAGTTTATTAGACATGCATAGGTTTTTCATAAGCTTATCATCTTCTGTTGTCGAAGCTCATGTGCCCATCGTAACCTTCTTGGCGATGAGTCCTTCTCTTGCTTCACTTGGGAACCCATACTTCTTTCATATTGCACAAAAAGATTCGGCTCAAGTGAATGGCATTAGCAGAATCATGCAAGCTTTTGGGTGGAAAGAAGTAGTGCCCATTTATGTCGACAACGACTGCTGGAAAGGGGCCATACACTCCTTAACTAATGCTCTTCAACAAGCCTATGTTCAAATCCCATATATGAGTACCATTTCACTGTCAGCCGCGGATGAAGAAATCAAAACAGAGCTCTCCAAGTTGATGGCCAATCAAACCAGAGTGTTCGTTGTGCACATGTCCACCAATATCAGTGCCATTTCACTGTCAGCCGCTGACAAACTGTGACCACTGGACCAACGATGGTAAGAGCGTTTGGCGCGGGAAAGAATGAGGACCGATGCGAGTTTGGCGGGAGAAGGCAGTGAGGGGAATGAACCGAAACGGTGAAAATCTCTCCATTTGTGGAGTGAAATTTTGAGAGGAAAATGGGGTATGAGACCCACCATATTTTTCCTTCCACTTTTTCCTTCTCTCTTATTTTCTTTCTTATCCAAGCAGGAGAAAACTTCATTCCTCTCCCATTTTTCACTCCACTTTTCCTTCCTCTCCCATTTTCACTCAATCCAAGCATAGCATTTAGTTATTTCCACTCCTAATTTCAAATGTCTTGCGGAAAGAAAGGTGTTGCCGCATACGGTGGCTCTAACTATTTCAACCCTTGAGTCATCCTCAGCCTTGACAAGAGGCGGACCTGCCTCTCCTCTCTCCCCTCCATGACCACTGCTGCTTGCAAGACAGTCCCACCACGACCATCACCCTCCAGAACGCTCACATTGCATTGTGTTTGCTGGAGGGAAGCAAGGGTCCATGGAATAAGGATCCTGCTTTCGCATTTGTCCAGCAGTAGCCCCAAAAAGTAAAGTATATGATGTCATTGCATGTGAAATTGCCGTGATATAACACCTCCGTTGTTTTTATTTTTTGTTTTTTTACTATTTTTTTTCACCAGCAATTATTTTTTACTAAATGCACCATGTGCAATCAATTATATGTATTTGCAGGCAAAGAAGAACTTTCCCTTTTTTAAATCATAGCCTCCAGACGAATGTCATATTACTAGCCCAAAGAGGTTAGCTTGGGCCCGTAAAAATCCACACTGGAACAACTCGGCGGAATCAATCGATTCACCGCCCTTTTTTCATCCCTACAGTCTACGGCATTCAGTTTAGATTTTGATTAGCGCAGATTGGTTGAAAGTTGGAACGGGGTTATATAAGCACAGAGGGCCCAAAGGAAAAGAGCCACTGTTATGTAGAGCGAGAAAATGGTGTTTCAGAATCACTAGAAAAGGACTGATGTGCATCCTATTGGAAATACGACTCAAGTAACGCTTCAGAACATCAAAATTTGTCATTCCTCAAGGTCATTTCCATTCAAAATTTATAGTAATTGGAAAAGTTATAAATCCTCCAATAAACTAAACAAGACAACGGGGGAGTCGGGAGGAATCCCTAGAGATCCAGAAGGCAAAAGCCAGCAGAAAAGTTTATCACATTATATAGGAGAGCCAAATGAAATTCAAGAATAGCTCTTAGGCACGGGCAGGAGCTCCTACTCCAGCAGGACGAGGTGCTTGCCCAGGCTGACCAGGCCTTGGTGTGTCATCCTGGAAATCAACCAAATATTTCATCAAATGTCAGCATGTGAAACAAAAAGCCATGATTTAAAACCAAAAGGGATGAACACCACCTAAGAACTACTAACTATTTCACAGGCATACATTGTGATTCTTAAAAAGCTTGAGCACGAATTATAAAACAATCTAATAGCCCGATACTTTACAATAAAAGAGCAATCATAAAAGGAAACAAATAGTTTCACAACGGCAAATCACTCAATGTATCACCAAATTAACTGCTGCAATAAATTAAATTATCGCAGAGGTAACTGAATCTGAAATTCAAAAGAGGGAGGGGAAAAAAGAGAGCCGTCAAACCCATTTATAAAGTCAACAAGCGAGACAACATCACACTAGTGATACGAAAGTTAATTTTAACAGGAACCATATCTAAATAACTAATTTTAAATCCCATTGAAAAACCATTATGATAATGTATTTTAAATTAACCCATCAATGAGTTCAAATTTGCAGAACGAGCTTATAAATGGGCTGTTTTAGTTTGAATCATAAAACACGATAAAACTGGGGAATTTCCACGATCAACTGATTGAGATAGGGTATTTTTGTTGTTTTGTAGACAACGTGCTTTTACAACATATACCGTCCCGAAATGTTATAATGCCGTTTTGATATAATCTCATCTAGTGAGATGTGGTACAAAGCCAAACAATTCATTTAACATAAACAGGAAGGATGTCGTAATAAATTGCCATACCCTGCGCCTGATAAAGCGTTGTGGGGGTTCACGGTTCCTCCTGTCTGTGCGAGATCGAACCCTCACGACATGGGAGTGAATTGCGCAGGACACACAATATTGCATCTTCACATACAGCTTGGGAAGGGTGTATTCTGCAAAAAATTAATCAACAAATAAAGCGCATGCGATGGAATGGATAATGTATACATGCATGGTTGGGAAAAAAAATAAACCAAAACGTAAAGAATATTACGCTCATATACACAGGCTTCTTGAACATCCCTAACTGCAGCTTGCTCAACAATGTTCCTCACAAGAAACCTTTTGATCGACTTGTCCTATATTTTTTTTACAAGCAAATCACAAGAACAAAATTAAAACCATGAATTTCAAATAAAAACGCATAACCTATTAAAAAAGGCGAGAAAGAAGTCCAAGCCACGAAACAGATATAAGAAGACTGACAACAAGGAATGACAATCTAATATCACAGTTCGAATGCAGTACCTTGGGGCAACATTTGCCACAGTTGGAGCAGCGAATGAATTTAACGTGTCCACGGCCATGCTTGTTGCGACCACCGTTTCTTCTCTTAAAAGTCTGCAGGAGTATTAAAGAAAACAGTGAGTGGGAAGCATATAAAAGGGAGGGACCAAAAAAGACGAACATTAAAAGTAACTGAAAGCTAATAGTCCGAACGAAGCAGTTTTGGGGAGGAAAAAACCATGGCTGATGGGATCTGAAGCTCGAAGCCGCGCGCCTCCGACTACTGGTGTGCAGAAGGCGAGAGCGATAACCTTAGGGTTTAAGTTTGGCGCATTTCTCGATTTCATATGGGCCCAACCCAATGTCACAGTCCTCTTATTGATGGAATTCAATTACAGGCCTGTGATTTTTTGGGACATAATTGGCAATCCATATTTTAAGGTCCGGGGCTCTTGCATTCTCTTCCATCCTTCCTTTTTTTTTGGGTATGACAGGGCTGTTGCTTTCCTTTTTTTATTTTTTTGTCATAAAAGGGCTCTTGCTTTTTTGTTTTCACGTTTTCCCCCGGTTTAGTTTACTTCTTAAACCCTGATACCCCATTTACTTCGTAAGTTTTTGAGGTATAATGAAACAAAAGGAAGGGCAATATCTCACAATTTATATTTCTTGCATGAAATACTTTCTCATTAGTTTCAATGTCAATTGAGAATCATTTATTATTTGAGAGAAAACAGATTTGTGAAAAATTATTTGGAGGTCAATACTTTAATGATAAATCAGAGATTTAATAGGAATGTCTTTATTCTGTGTTTATATATATTTTTCAGTGATGTTGACAAGGCAACGGGCCAAAATATTTTTTCCCCCCCCGGGGGGGGGGGAGATGTGAGAAGACGATAGCCGAAAAGAAATAAAATCGTAGGGAAGACTTACGGTTTGGTAGGTGGAAATTTTCGGGTTCAAATTGAATGAAAATTTATTGAAGAGAACGTTAATAGTTCTGCTAATTAAAAAATAAATCATGCAACTTTAATATATTTTTTGCGTTGAAAGTATGATAATTATTTATTTTTTTAATTATTGTATTTTTTTTAATTTAATCAAACATTGCCGATGCCTTTTCCAATCAGCCGAAACATAATTAATCAATTAAATCAAAATAAAAAATCTTTGTAAAAATCAAATTTCGAATTAACATTAACAACGATCAAGATAAATTTTCACATCATTAGAGCAAACAAGATGTAGAAAAAATTAGCAATTAACTAAACAGTTGTATTTTTATTAGGATTACTTCTACAATATTCAAGACAGAGAAATGAAGAGTAATAAAGCTTAGCCTTGAATGCAATAGCAGTCCCATGATGCCTCTTCAGAATAGTTACAACTTAACAGGTCCGGAAAAAAACACTTGGATAAGATGACTACGGGAATCGGAACACAATCAAGAGATATCCACCCGACAAAGTCCATGTATTTGTTCATCGTCAGCAATATTGCTTGTTCGATAAATATTCATAGGCGACAAAACTAACGCCCAGTAAACTCGTATACGAGGCTGCACTTTCTAATTCCAACTCCAATTCCAATTTGGTATAAACCCTTTGTAAGGACCCTGTACTTACCGCCTTTGTTTGATAATTTCAGAAGTCCAAGCATGAGGCGTCCTAGTCCTTGTCTTTGCCCCATGCAGGGCCCTTTTGTCCAGAAGAATTCAATGCCGCATTTCCATTTTCCACCTTAAGCAGAGGATCTGAATCACCTTCTCTGGCCTGCATAAGTTCCCATAAAACCAGGAATCACAAAAGCACGGAGACCAAGATAACTCGATAAATGCAAAATTAATTATGTGAAACAAACCTGGGATGCTTCGGCCGCAGCTTCTGCAGCTTTTTGCTGATTCTCTAGAGTGCAATAGTAGGAATACGAAATCATCCCGATCAGGGCTACCAAAATCCCCAGGACGTTCCTCCAGCTGAATGGATCATGAAGCAAAATATAACCAAAAGCCAACACAAGGCATGTCTTCAAGTGTCCAAGAACCTGATAAGTGACTGGAGAAGTCTTCCCGATCACAAGAAACGTACTAAAATTTACGGAGATGGAGATGAGGCAGGAAAGAATGATGAAAAACTGCAATGCAAACGTGACAAACAAGAACAGATCAAAACAAGAATTGGAGACCAAAAGCAACCTCATTAAACTCTTAAACTCTCACCATCACTTGTGTTGTGTACTCAAAAGCAAATACATTTCGGTCGGTCAAAAGTTTATCCAGATAAGGACCACAGATCAACAAAGTGGCCGCTTGATATGGGCATGATTGGTACAGCAATTGGGTGGACGAAACCTTGTACTTCTTCTGAATGGTATTTGTCATCTAAAAGGGCCAAATTAAGTTCTTAACAAGACACAAGACAAAAGTTCTGCGATCTAAAGAAAAAGATAGACCGGATAATCTTTCTCAACCTTCAATCTTAAAAAAGAATAATATCCTCCCTAATAATAGTCGAACAAGTTATGAGAAATTCTTGACAGGCAGAATAATGAGAGAGATCTTCCAGGTTAATATGGATTTCAAATATGCAGAGAGAGTCACGTTTTTAATTAATACATCCAAAGAGAATTGGAGCACATTACATGACATATCTTTTTCAACGTGAGTAACATGACAGTTACATCGATTCTTGAAGAGAAGTTTTGAAAGGTTAAGAATCGTAGTGTGATAAGCAGATATGAAATTTAGCCCCGTAGTTTTAAGCTTTTTAATAATTTCATTTAATCAATAACCAAAATATCTCGGCTATGCTAAAAACTTAACTAAGAAAACTTGATTTTCCAAAAGGATACAATCTGAGCGACACATGTTGTAATCACTGCAAGAAGAGATAGGAAAGAGCCCAAAGCATTGAGCTGCAAATCAGTGACTGTTGCAATCCCAACACCTAGAAGGAGGATAACCAGGGAAAGTTGAATTCTTTTACTGCAATGAAGGTAAAGGAAATTAAGAGAAAAATTAATACATGTTACAATTTATGCAAATGCTATCAAAGGCAACTTCACTTCAACAAACAAGATGCAATGGAATGTTAGCATAGCTCGCATCAAAACAATGTGCCAGAGATGAGCAAATGTTGCATAGCAAAGATCGCATTTGACATGTAGAGAAATTTCAGGAATAAGAATGAGAACAGAGAACAGAAAGAGGTCGTGAAATGAAAAGCTAGGTTCATGAGAAAATACTTCTTTCATAGACCTAAAATAAATTAATGACAGGAAGCTAAACGGGACCTGAATCTCTTCCCCAGGAAAAGGGTCTCCAACAGAACAGTGCACGGAATGATAGCCAACTTGGTCATCTGAATTATAGTTGAGCTATTTAGAATATCTTAAAGAACAGATTAAACATTAAGACATAAATTTTGTGTGTGTGTGTGTGTGTGAGAGAGAGTGAGAGCAAATTTTACCTGGTAAAAACCAACAGAATTGAACCCCAGGCTCAAATTTAAAAGTCCAATTGAGATTCCATTAAGAATCCCAAATCCCACCACAGCTTTCTGCTCAAAAGGTTTGTGCTCAAAGAATCTCATTTTTAGTGCCACGTGAAGAGAACAAAATGTGACAAGCAGATGCCAGCTTGTCAAAGTTGTGGCTGCATGTGGACAATGCACATAAATAACATTAAAAGGGCAAGCTCAAATTTAACATAGAAGGGAAATGAGCAAAGCCTTTAGCAGATCCCCGGCAGGTTAGGTGATAAGCTCGCCTTTATTACTGGATTGAAAATATATGAAATTAGAGAACTATGACAGCAAGGTTCTGATTCACATGATGATCTATTTAGTATCAGCATGGCAGGTAGCCTTAAACCTTGACTTGATAGGGAAAAAAATATCTACTTACACTTCCAAAGGGCCATTATTTAAAATACAATAAGAGAGATGCCAAAACGAGTGCCTCACCTTCCCATGAATGAAGTCCAGTAAATAAATTACAGAAACAAACGCAAGAAAACTATTGGTCAAAACCGACAAATCCAACCTACAGCAATTATTGTAGTGCTGCCGGGTTGGTGGTTGGATTAATTTCCCATGCCATTAGTATAAGATTGTCCGAAGCCGAGCTGGAGGCGAATATGGGTACTTTTGATTTCCAGCAAAATTGTGGGAGGGGATATAAAATAGAATATGTAAAAGGTAGAGTTGTTCCAAACCCTCGTTATGGTTCAAACGGACATAACAACAACAGAAAATTAGTCCCCTATTCTTGTCATCAAAAGGCTTTATCAAACTTTATAGCACATAGACATAGAGCAAATAAGGCTGTCGCCATCATAGATGATCCGAAAACTGACGGACTACCTCAAAGTAGACAAGGATGTTTATTTTGCAACTACTAGAGAGTTTTGTGAGCATACCAAAAATGAAATGCAGTGAGCTCATTAACGCCTTATTACAAATTACAATCGACACTGATGACACCACGGATAGTGTCAACGCCCCGATAGTTCCCAGCTGAAATCGTTCTCCCTCACCCATCTTTGTCTTTGCTCCAACTGCTTTATAGCAGTACGAAAGCTCAAAAACTGCTACATTCAAAACGTCAAAAAAGTCAAAGAACAAGACAAATAAGAGGTGCAAGACATTCAAGCAAACAACGTTATAGAGTAAACAGGAGCAGGATTAGCCAAACCCAGAAAACAGAACAACTACTAGACCCAGAAAGGAACTAGGAAAACTCACAAAAGGTAGAGATTGAGGGGCGAAACTAAAAAGGGGCGCCGGGAGAGGCGTGGAATCCAGCGAATTGCGAGAAACGCCCTTAGAATCTTAGATCCAGTGATGATAGAGAGAGAGGGATCAATGGGTATTAAAAGGATATATAATCTCGATGGTTTTCGTTCATGAAAGTCGTGGTAGCAGGGCTATCAGGAATCGCAAAGCTAAACGAAGAAGTTAATACCAACCAAAGTTCGGTGGAATGCCCATATAAACCAAATCTAAAGACTATCGGATTACAGAAATTCGATTTGGACTTGTTCCAAATTCCAGGCTTGAGAGTGTGGGAAGAGAAGGAAGTCTCTGCCTTCGTTTCCGAAGCGAGAAGATCAGCAATTGAACTTCAAACGAGCAGAGGCACTTACAGAGAGGAACGAGATAAAGACAGGAACAGGAGAGATAAAAAGGTCAAAATAAATATCGAAGATCGGTTATGGTCCGCATCCCCTGCTCAGGAATGCTGATCCCCAAAACGCTGCGTTTTACGTTTATTTCATTTTTTTTCTTCCTCTTTGTTTGGTTAAAATTATACGAGTAACGCCTAATATTTTAAATTAATTATTTTTTTATTCATTACCATGATATATTTTTGATAATATCTAATATCATTAATTAATTAATTTTTTGTACATTCAACATTTTAAAATAGTTTTTTAGTAAAATCTAATATCTAATTTGATTTTTGGTGCATCTGCTCAATAACAAGTAATACCCTAAATTTAAGATGTGGATAAAAATAGATTTAGGATATTGTATGCTATTAAAAAAATATTTCGATGTACTCTGTATACCAAATATTAATTAATTTATGATACTGTATTATTGAAAAATACTTTATAATGTTAGATACATTAAAATTAATTAATTGAGTGTTGCTGAAAAATAATTTAAAATTCTAGATACTTAACCCAAATAAATAAGAAAAGTAAAAATTGATAAAAAAAAAAACAAAACATAATTTTTGTAAAGAAGAGTTAAGATACTGATTTTATTTTAATTCTATGTGTATTAAAATAATTATTTAAAAATAAAAATAAATTAAATCTCAACCATTCAGATGAGATCCGAAGCTGACGCGCCAAAATCAAGGGGCACATGTCCGAGACAGCGGTCAGATTCCACCAGCAAGGGTGGATGAAGTCCCACTTCGTAATGATCTCTCGCCAGTCAAAACCATGTCTGTATTTGTCAAACTAATCATGAGAAGCTGTGAATTGACTGTGGATTAAAGAAAATAGAGGCAATGACGTTAATGATTTGGCAGTATATTATGGATTTATGGCTAACTAGCGGAGCTATCGCAAGTGAAGCAGATGAAAATGCGAGTTTTTTTTCTGCCTGAGCCGCTACTAAAGAAATAGATAAAGTAAAATTTAAAAAATTTTGATTAACAAATCATATTTTATAGATTATCTAATTTTTCAAAAATACTCATGCTGGTGTTTTATATTACAAGGAGGATGTGTCGTAGAAATTTTTACGAATTTATATTTTTTTATTAAACACGATAAATATAATGATATATGATTTGATGAGGAGCTATTTCCTTATCTGCAGAAACTGCACACTCGTAATATTGCCATTATAAAATAATACTTTTCACATTTTATTAGTCAAAAACTTCAAAACGAAACTGTAAAAGCGCCACCAAATGAAAAGAAAAGCAAGGTTAATGAGCCAGATTTTACATAATACAAGAGAATGTTAAGGTAAGAATGCAAAAATATGATGAAAGAAGGAAAGGAAAGAAATTAATTAACTTTCTCTTGGAAAGCGAGAAGAAAATTTTCTCTCTGTAGGAGAATTCATCCCAATATATGATAAATATAAAAATATATGATACGATTGGAAAACTATTTACTAATTTGCAAAAAAGTGTTTGCCCATGATGGTTGTAAAATAATGCAGTTGTCATGTCTTAAAAATTAAAAACTTTGAGGCGAAAACGTAAAGATGCCGCCAAACGAAAAGAAGGGGAAGATTAAAGAATTAGATACCGCAGACTACTAGAGAATGATGACCGAAGAACATAAAATGTGGTGAAGGAAATCGAAAGAAAAGGAAAGGGTGAAGTAAATGAATTGGAGAGAAGGCAGAGAATTTTTCCTCACAAGGATGGCTCCACCTGGTATGTGATATAATTGAGCAACTATTCACTTATTTGCCAAAAAAAAAAAATGTAAGAATGGGATGTTATTATTGAAAAATGATATTGGTGCCATATCTCATAAAGCGAAAATGCCAAAGGTAACATGCAAGTTTTGTTTCTAGTTTAAGGTCTATCTAGTGTTGTTGAGACATGAGAGTGATTTAGGAAAAGGCCGAGGCGTGCTAGTCTTTGTCTTTGCTTCCATAGAGCTGCCTCTTGTTGAATACCGCATTTCCACTTTCCATGCCAACGAGAGAATCGGTTTCGCTGTCTCTTGCCTGGAAAGGTTATGAGATAATAACACGAAATCATAAAGGCAGTTCTTGTTATCCGAAATGATGGTGACACAACAAAGTAACAAACCTGGCCTGATGCCTGGCCTGCAGCTTCAGCAGTTTTTTGCTGATTCTCAACAGTGCAATAGTAAGAATACAAAATCATGCCAACAAGGGCTATCAAAATCCCAAGGATGTTCCTCCAGCTGAATGGATTGCGGAGTAGGATATAACCAAATGCCAGCACAAGGCAAGTCTTTAGGTGTCCAAGAACCTGATAGGTCACTGGAGATGTCTTCCCAATCACAAGAAATGTGCTAAAATTCACAGAGATTGAGATGAGGCAGGAAAGAATAATAAAAGCCTGCAATACATGAAGTGGAGATCAAATATACAATATTACCCAGAAAAGAAAAAGGATTTTCGGGCCACCGTAGTCTCATGAATTTCTTTAGCAACTCACCGTCACTTCGGTTGTATACTTGAAGGCAAATACACTTTGATTGGTCAACAGTTTATCCAGATATGGACCAGAGATTAACAAGGTTGCTGATTGATAAGGACATGATTGATATAGAAGCTGGGTGGAGGTGACCTTAAACTTCTTCTGGATGGTATTGGTCATCTGAAAAGGGCTCGTTAAGATATTAACAAAGCGATAAAACGGTGGATCTGCTATCCAGAAGGAAATTATAGAGAACCATCTTTCTCAGAGTTTCCCCTGCAGTTCATATGAATTTAATAATTGCAGACAAGGCACACAGAGATAGAGGCTCATTTCAGACCAAAATGGAGATCCAGCTGGTAAAGATTTGAACTCAGAAAAAACGTATGGCAAGAGCATTATTTCTTCTATCAGCTCATGTCTCAGTTTATCCTCTCATATACGAAGGCAAACATTCTATGGTTTTAGTTTCACTTTGTAATTAACAGCTTTTTAAGTATTTTGAACACTTTTGCCATGTCTAGAGTTCATGCATATGCTCCAATGGAACATATTCAAGAATTTACCCCTCGGCTTGATCAATTGATTGGGTCAATGACATAATATCTCTGCATTGCCAAAATCTGAGGCGCTAATAAAATTGAAAATGTCGTAAAGGATACAATCTGAGCAACGCATGTTGCAATCACTGCTAGAAGAGACAAGAAAGAGCCCAGAGCATTGAGCTCCAAATCGGTGACTGTTGCAATCCCAACACCAAGAAGGAGGACACAAAGGGAAAATTGAACTCTTTTACTGAAATGACAGCCAAAAAGAAGAATTAATACATTTTAAAGTTATGCACGTACTATTAAAATTTAACGTAAATCGCCCCAACAAAAGGAGACATAGTACTAGACTGAGGTAATAATAGATCAGGTAGAAACAAGGCGTTAGAGAGATCTATTGAGGTTTGTAAGATGCCACTCTAAATAGATTTGATTGATTAGAAGCAATCAGAAGAAGCTAGCAAAGAAGCAATAAAAACAAAAGCAAAAAGGCTTGCGTATGGTATATTTGTTTAACTGTTTTTACTGTAGCTTTTAAGAATGTATACTGTCAAAAATTGAACTCCTCGTATTGTTCCCAAAAAAAGGTCCCGTGCATTACGACATTACATACGGCGCTATTACAATTTCTGTGTGTGTTTGTGTATACAGTTATAGGTCATAAGTGCCATATTAATCATAGGAGGCTAGATGAGACCTGAATTTCTTCCCCAGAAAAAGGGTCTCCAACAGAACTGTGCATGGAATTATAGCCAGCTTGGTCATCTGAATGAAAATATAATTGAGTTCAAAACACCTTGAAAAAACTGTTTTATACATCAAGGATTGGAATTTCACCATAGAGAAACAAAACTAAAATAAATAACTATACCTGATAGAATCCCACAGAATTGAATCCCAGGCTCAAGTTTAAAAGTCCAATTGAAATCCCATTGAGAATCCCAAATCCCATGACAGCTTTCTGCTCAAAAGGTTTGTGCTCAAAGAATCTCATTTTCAGTGCCACATGAAGAGAACAAAATGTCACAAGAAGATGCCAGCTTGTCAAAGTTGTTGCTGCATGAGCACCACAGAACAGTTATCAAAGGTTTTGAACTCAGACTCTACACTTAAATTCAAATGTGCTGGTGACTAGCACAAATATAGAATCACAACATATCCTTAGCACTCCACCAATGGAATACTAATTGACCCAAAAGAAAATAGAGAGAATCATGTCAGAAATGTCTGATAATCTACATTACTACTTGGAAATTTCCCCATAGTGATTGAATCAATAGCATACGTCATTCACAGCCCACTTGCAAAAATCTATTTAGCAAGGGCAGGTAGACAGCATCCTTGAACAAGTCTGTAAAATGAATTTTACTCTACCTTTCCAGGAGAAATTGTGCATTTCGCAAAAAGGAGGATACTCACAGTCTGCTTCACGTGCCCAAGAAAAATATATAGTAAGGTAAAATTTAAACCCAAAACCAAATGACAAATCATCAAATTCTGACAAATCCTGTGTCAGTCAAAGGTGTACTGAGAGGGAGTATATTGAATGGCACAGCGACACAGAAAAAAGAAAGAAAGGAGAACAGAATGGAGATTTCAAATCTTCGATTATAATACTTTCATGATAAATCCACAGCTCCGCCGTGTATACGAAATAATAAGCCATATACCCTTATTCAGTAGTCATAAAGAAATAAAATATAAAACAGACAGAAAACATACAAATAGACAGCTGAGTAGATTCGCAAGAAGCAGAGACTTTGTGAGCGTACCGAAATTGAAATGTAATGAGCTCATTAGTGCCTTATTGCAAATTACAATTGACACTGATGATACCACAGACAGAGTCAACGCTCCGACAGTTCCCAGCTGAAATCGTTCTCCCTCACCCATCTTTGTCTTTGCACAAATAACTGAAAACAAAAGGGAGAAGGCCCACAAAAAATATATAAGGTCAAAATGTCAAAAGAAAAATCACAAGAAGAAATTCAAGCAAACAACTTTGAAGGACCAATAGCATCATGATTAGCAAAACTTGAAAACAGAACAACTAACAGCCAAAAGAAGGCAGCAAAAACTTACAAAAGGGAGAAATTGAGGAGTAAACAACTGAAGGGGGCTCTGCGTGATTTCCAGCGAATGGTAAGCAAAGCGCTAAAATCCAATGATTACAGAGAACTAAGGATCAGTGGATATAAAAGGATTGATAAAGCACGGTGTTGGGCGATGCCCACTATGCTAACCGCAATGGGACCAGTGAAATGAAAATGCAGACGCAACGTAAGTCAAAGAAAAACGAGCACTAGGAAGGAAGCGTCTATTCGTGCTGCCTCGATCCTAGTTCTGGGCAGGTTTGTGGATGGGTGTTGCAATTAGTTTCGAAGCTGATTAATAGTGAAGATCAATACAAATCGGAAAGGCGATTGAGGAGAAACACGATAAAGAGAAGACAGAGTAATTAACCTGAACAATGTTCGCTTCAAACTAATCACCAACATCCAGCCATTTTGAGATCCATGCCAGGCAACAATCTTGAAAATGGCTGCCCTGCAAAGCATAACGTAACGCATTAACATTACGAGACGAATATCAACGAAACAGAGGAAAGATTATGAAACCAAACAGCTGATCATTCATTTCAACAGTACATGACAACACAAAAATCTCCTCCTATCATACGAAGATTATGATTTGCATTTACTGACAGAGATGGCCAGCATACCACTTTTGAAAGAATGCGCATTACACTGGACATCAAATGAATGACATGGGAAGATCATTTTGAATAACCCAACAGAATAAAGAAAGGCGTTAGGTGGAAGGAACGAAAATGGGGAATGGAAGAAAAGATACCCCTTTACTTGATGAGGCTTCTCCAAATCCAAATGTATGTGATATGGTTTTGAGGTTGAAACCTGAAAACAAAGGGTGAGTGTGAGAGAACAAAGGGATTAATTGCTGAGGGGAAGGACGAGGCGAAGGATGGAGAGTAGGAGAGAGCGCGCATAATATTGAACAGTGAATCTGAATCTGACTTGTGGGGCCGCCCTGTGTGGCAAATATGGCAAGCTCCCTTACATTTCCCGTCCTGAAAAATTTCTTCTCTGTTTTCCTACTCCCTCTCTTCTTTTAACTGACGTCTAAAGTCAAATGTTTTTAAAAAAATAATACCATAAAAATTAGTTGACTAATTTGAAGAGATTAAAAAAATTAAATTAATTATTTATAATTAATAAGTGTTATCTTTTCTAATATATCTTTACTAATCTAGTGTGTTGGCTAAAACTAAAATTATTAGAAGGACTATCTTCGAAAAAATTGAGTAAATATGAGAGATAAAATGGATTTGGGTCTTATATTTAGAATCAAAATAAAATTTAAATAAGGTCTTATATTAAGGACAAGAGGTAGTATTAAATGAAGAGTGCAATTTTCCTAAATTATATTCTTATTGTGCTCCGTGGTTTATTACTACTTATAAATAAGTTTATAATATATTTTACGAAATATTAATGAATATTTTTATTTCAAATATGCCTTTGAAAAATTAAAATTACTTTACCCTTCGAATTTGATTCACTCTTCATTAATAAAGTCAGCTGTATTTAGTGAAAATATATTTAAAAATATTAAAATGTTTTAAAGACGTTAACTAATAACTGATTATATAGTTTATGTGAGCTAATATTTCTCACGGTCCAGTTTTTCACATCTTGATTTTGCCTTGCGTAATTTTCCCCGTGGCTGCCAATCTGACCCATGCTTTATTTTTGTTTGGTTTATTGACTTTTTAGCTTACAATTTTTTATGCGCTCTGCTTTTATTTAATATTTTTTCCATCATTCTTTTATTTAACAATTGTTACTTGTTAGCGTGACATTGTTTTGACTTTTTGTTGAATATGAGAATTTGAATTATTAGAAATCATATTATTTGAACTTCTTCGTTTCTAATTATTTGAAAATGTAAATATTTTCTGCGTCATGTAAAGAGTCCTGCGTTGTTTTGAAGTTTTAAAAATGAAGATATAATACATTTTTAAAATAAATAAAACATTCCAGTCAAAATATATAACTATAAGAGAAATTAGAGATAAATCCCTCATTAAAAATTTAATTGGCAAATAAGACATAGGATGATTGATTGTATAAGGAAAGATTAGTTACATACAAAGGATGATAAGTTGCACAAAGAGAAGATAGTTTGTATAAAATATTATTTGGATATAAAGAATTAATTTACATATGGAAAAGATGACTTGCACATAAAAGAATTTTATTTGCATAAAAGAGAAATTGAGTTGCACATCACACAGAGAAAGATCATTGTACACAAAGAAAGATATATTGCACATAGGGGAAGATAAGTTGTACAAAAAGAAGTTAAGTTGCATAAAATCTTTAAATCCTATTTGCCAATTAAATTTTCAATGGGGAATTTATCCCAATTTTCCCTAACTATAATTTGATTCTCTATTTTTTTGCCAACTATAATTTGGTTCTATATAAAGAATGAAAACTGTTTTAAAGATCAAGTATATTTCATCTTATATTTAGATGCAATTTGGATTTATTGGTTGCAAATATGATTATCTTATGATAAAAATATGGGGTATATTGATTTTTGGGTAATAGAGGGGGCACAGGCGCAAAGCCAAAATCTGACGAAGTTGACCAAGGAACCCATTATAGTAATAAATTATTGATTAATTTAATTCTGAAACTTTTTGCGAAGTAGGAGGGCGGTTCAATTGGCGAAGCCCTCAGAACATTGGATTTACGTATATCATGCTGTAGTGATCCTTTTTATTATTCAAATCCCGTCTCTGCGTTGCCCTCATCTGCTGCCGACTGCAAAGGACATCATTTTCAAGTCAAATGGTCTGTGATTTATATTTTATTTATAAATTATTTTTAACATGAATTAATTTTTATTTAAAATTTAATACTTTTTTAATTTCATTCCTATTTAATATATATTATACATAATGTAAATAAAATCAATACAATAAAAAATAAAAAATAAAATTATATATCCATATAAAGACCAGAAGAGTATAAAGCAAGTTTCCATGATATTGGAATTTTTTAAATTTTAACAAGATATTGATTCCTTTTTTGTTTTAGCCTCCGTCCATTTCTTAATATTCAATAAAGAAAGAGAATATCAAGGTAATACTAATTCATTGTATTAGTTAAAATGTATTTGAAAATGTATATGCTTTTTGAATTTTTTTTCCTAGGTACGATATACAATTTTATGTGAGGAAACACTAAACGTGGGAATTCGAATACTTGATTTCCACCCATTCATTTGCATTACACGATCATTTTCCATCGCTGGTTTCTTGATTTCGTGAAACATTCACAATGCTTACTAGGAAAATACATAGCTGTTGTGTGGTCATTTTCAACACTATCACATCATGTAATCATCAAATTTTCATTTGTAATCAAAACTCTATATATGTAATCTTACCACCTCTGACAAAACGTGCCTCACCGAATCCAAATCCTAGGAATAGAAAACTTCACAGGCGGCCGGCCTATGCGCAAGGTGGGAAGCAATCAAGCAATATAGTGACTATCTTCTCCAGAGCACAGGATGGCTGCTGTGTTGTCAAGTTCCACGAAGAGAGCGGACTCGATTTTGAATCAAATCCCTCTCCCAGTCAGCTACATCCTCAAATGCATATTCTGGAAGACTCTCAAACGGTTCTTTCCACGGATCATTCTTCGCCAAGTCATAGGTGGCCCCGCGTATGGCTCTTATATTGGGTCCACAAGGTCTCTTTGCTGTCAACATATCATATGCTGCATTTAGCTGTCCATACAGAAAAAAGCCACATTCATTCCCATTTACCAGATGAAAAAACTTCCTCGTTAATTAAATATCGGACCTTCCTCCACACTCAAAAAGCAATTTCATCTTGGGCAGAAGTAATTACAAAGCCCCAAGATGTTTCCACATGTGGTTTGGAAAAGGATTTGAGGACAATGCCAAGTATTTAGGACTCACATTCATGTCACAGAACCAGAACAAGTAAGCAATTGCCACTGCCGGAGCTCTTCCAAGTCCAGCCGTGCAATGCACGTACACTCTTCCCTTTCCCTCGGAAACAGCCCATTCCAGTGATGAAACTGCTTTTGGCAGCTCATTTCTCAAGGAGTTTGGATCGAAGTCTATTGCCTGTGATGTAGATACAAGGGCAAAGAAAATTTTAACGTGAGTGATCATTCGATCAGTAGAAAAAGCAGCGGATGAATATGAATACTTCCACACCGACGAAAATTTTTCTGACACAGTATATACTACCATTTCCATCAGATCTGTCATTCCTGGAGACGAACAGGGAAAACTAGCCGTGGAAATTAAAATCATTATTGCCTAATCAATAAATTTGCCGAAAAGGGGCTTGCTTACAGGCCTCCTCATGTGACGAATACCGAGTTCGCGGCATCTTCTTATTACAGATCGCAAGTCTGTTCCCCAATACTCCACATCCTTATCCTGCTGCAAGTTTAGAATGTATGCTACATCCTCTTCCTTTTTGAGGTGATCTATATCTTCAGCTTTTTGTGGCTGGGAGCCCACAATTAAGCTATCAGTTATAAGTGTGTAATTCATACCTGAAATCAGGAATCAATTATTCCGTTAGTCAAACGTGGCACATCCTCTTACTTGTATTGTAGGAAGCAATTGACCGCAATTGACCGGAGTTGGATTTCTTTTTTCCTTTTCCTTTCAGTTAAAAGAAAACTATGCGTTACAGAGGCAAATTGAATCTTACGGGCTAATCCCAGGGCATAGACTGATTTTACGGAGCGGGAGAGGGAGAAGTATCGGGTGGGGATCCCTCCATAAAGACTCCATAAAGATATTAAGCCCCGGTTTTATTGGTTTAACTTACAGCATCATGTGAGTCCTTATCCACTCCAAATCCAACACAACGAAGGAAATGTTTCATGGTAATTCCCTTGACACCGTCCTAATAGCAATGGAACAGTAAATTACAGCAGCGATGTCGGCCACAATAAATTATAGCAGAGATCGCATTTCTCAGAAATGCATCTCAAAAGAGGGAAAACAGTATATAGAACCGAGAATTGGAATGGAAAGCTAAACAGTAATAGATGGAGAGCAAAACGAATAGAGACGAAACTGACCCAGGTCGTGGTGATACTCATAAGGGTTCCTCATCATTTTCTTCATAGCTATATTGTACTCCTCCATCCTGTTGTTGGAATTAGAGGCCCTCCGGCCTGTGGGGTTCTCCTCAATCCCTCTGTCTGATAGTTTGCAAAATATTTGACGATTCAACCTGATTGAGCTATTCTGGGGCATACAAATCCAGGAGCCGTTCTTCCTCCGCCGCTTTGAAAGCCCATCAATGTCAAGAGATGCTCGGAATAGCGAAGGAAAGCCAATATTACTGACGGTGCTCATCTTTGCTTCTTCACCGTATGCGTTGGTCGCAACGGATGTCAAATTATAAGATGAAATGAAACCATCATTTTGATTTGACTAAAAAGCCCTCAGATATTAAAATTAATCCTTGACTAAAAAGCCCTCAGATGTTAATATTAGCCATTGACGGTGCCATGGCCATGACCAAGATTGAAGAGATGTCAGTTAACCTCCACCCGCTTTCCTCACAGTTTAGAAGCAAAGAGTAGGATAGGATCAACGATCCCCTGCACTGCTATATTTGGTCCCAATCGCCTCCTTCCGTCCACCAACCACCATGTCAAGCGAGAGGAAATAGTCAGACATGTTGGGCCAACCAGGGAAGCAATATAATCATCAGACGTAACATTACCAGCAATGAAGCAAGAAAGTTGGAGTATCGATTGGGAGGAAGGGGAAACAGGGAAAGATGAGGAAGGAACAGACGTGGACGGTAGAATGGAACCGGAGCCAGCCAGTACTGATGCTTACGGCATTTCCCACCAGGCTGATCCCGGAGATTTACGGGTGGCCCAGTGGGATTGGGATGAAAGCGAATAAGGCGAATCATATCAAGGCCCACCACCCATAGCCATGTCAGCAATAGCCCAGTCCATCTGCAATATAAATTACTCCGTTAGTTGGGGGATGTCATTTATTCATCTATCATGTATTGGTTGATTTTATTTTTCATATTTTTTATCTTTTATTAAACTAAGTTTTATATATAATTTAATATTGTTAAAAAATATTTTAAGAAGAATATATCACATTCTTATAATTATTTTATTTTAAATTCTTTTTACTCTGCTAAAGGTTAGAATAAAAGTTGCTATTTGAAAATACAATGTCTTATGAATAAGAATTAAAACCATCAAAATGAATTTTTTTTCCGCCATAAAATCTATAAAATTTGGTCAAATCCGCCATCAGCCTATCCAATTGACATCTCGGCCTTAAATGTATAAACTTAAAAAGATATGCAATCTTACTGGACTGGATTTTTGAGGAGGCAGCAACTTAAAAAGATAAAGTATATATTTAGTTTTTTAATTTTATATAAAGTTTTACTTGAGTTTTTTAATTTAAAAAATATATACATTTAATCTCTTAACTCTAAAATTATTAACAAAAAATGATGTATTGAGATCTTTTTTTTTTTTTTTGCCAAAAGATGCATTGAGACCTTAAATGCTAATAAAACATTCTCAAATACTAATATATTAAGTTTAATTATCAAAACAATCATAATTGTTATTTTTTAAAGTTAAAGAACCAAATTAAAATCTTATACAAAATAAAAATATTAAATGTATATTTGAGCCTAACTTAAAAAGTTTCTAAAAAATTGTCCTTGCTTATAAACATTTAAACTCTTGATAAAGCATGCAACAACAAAAATAAATAAATAACGTTGCACGATGCGTATCGTAGAAGAAAGTTTAACATTTAAACAAAAACAGTACAAATAATACAATTATCAATTTATTTTATTACATCCGGTCCTAAACATAAGAGCTATGTGTCTAATTTGAGTAAATTAAAAAAAATAAGTTAAATTATTTATTTGTAATAAATATGTATGGTCTTTCCTAAAATATCCTCGTTAATCAAGTATTAGATAAAACTACTATTATTACAAAAATTACTTTAAAAAAACAGATAAATAAGAGAGATAAAATATTTTGAGATCTTATATTTATGATTAAAATAAAAATCAAATTGATTCTTATATTAAAGAGAAGAGAGGGTAGTATATTTCATACTAATTTATAGTAATACCTCGACAAACCCTTCACACCCTTTTTCTGTTTTTGAAAAGGAAGGGAAAAAAAAAAGAAAAAAAGAAAAACCCATTGTTCCGGTGCAGCCAACAAGAATGACAAAATCTACTAACATAGGCAAAGCCAGTTCCATAATTTAAGCCAATCACTCCATCAGAAAATCATTTCCAAAATCAAATACCAACTCGAACTCCTGTACTCGCTAAAATGAAAGCAAACGCAACCACAAAACCAATAAGAAATCACAATATTTATACATGAATAGTGGCTATCATCTTTGTGAAAATATCAGTTCACGCCCTTTTCTTATTTGGCTTTGTCAAGGGGAGTGATATTTGGATGAATCCAAACTTCTTCCTGTTTCCTACTAAATGCTTTTGAGCGCTCCGATCTTTCTCGGTATTATCATCTGTCCGAAGAGTAAAATCTTCCCTCAATGCTCGAAGCATTTGACTCAATGCTACCTTCTGCCTCGCAGAATGATCCTCCATCTCCCTTTCAGCAGGATATTCTTCAGGAACTGGCCTTCTTCTAAGAACATCTCTCAGCGAAACAGTGGACCTTAAAACAGGCTTTGGGTCATTGTTCGTTGTTGTTGACCTCATTGCATCTGGAAGCGGAGAGTGCCGATAATTTCCTCCCTGGTTGAGCTTTTTGCTCTTACTAGGATTGTATACTGCTTGTCCCTTCGGTTCAGTATCAGGAAGCCATCTGCGCAGAGCCTCTTTAGCAGCATGCTGCTTGCTGTTTGCGTTTTCAACTCTGTTTAAAGCCTCTGTCAAGACCTGTCTGCTATGTAGAACTTCTGCCGAAGCTTCCTCCAACCAATTAAGTATAGTCAGTTTACAAACGTTTGTTTCATCAACGTGCAACTTGGAATCTATTACCTTTCTCAAGGTTGACTCTTCAGGTTCTTGAGCTTTGGGGTTTAAAGAAGATTGCTCCCTTAAATCAAACGTCACTCTCCGAGGTTCTGGCATTGGTACTCTTGATGACCTCTCAGTGCTAGATAGAGCCTTAATTTCAGCAAGAGCAATGGCTTCTGCTGCCCTTGCGGCTTCTTCCATCTTTTTAGCTGCAAACCACCTCATCTCAGCAGTCTTCATGCTTAATCCATTATCTTCCTTTGGAGGGAAGGACTTGGAAACGTCACAATTCTTTGTTTCAACCATCCTATTTTGCTGCTCGACATCAGGATTGAAGCTATTCGTAGTATTCACAGGATTGTTGAAAGTGCAACTTGCTTCAACAGAAGTTGCCGGTGGATTGAATTTTGGTTGTTCTTGAGCCCTCCCTTGAGCAGAGACAGCTGCAAAATTGGATGCTAGCTTCTCACGGGTCCTCATGAGAAAAAATTTCTCCTTTTTCATCTTCTTATTCAAAGATTCCACAGAAGTTTGTATCACCCCGAGATCACTCATTGCCTTACCAAGATCCACCTTAGCTTGTTTTATATCCATTAATATCAGATCGGCCGATGACATAGGGCAGGGACCTGAACTTTGCAATACCTGTCCTTCGCTGTTTATAGTATTTTCACTGTTTTCCTGATTCATCTCCTTTGCAATAGGATTTCCAGCCTGTTCACAGATATGACCATCAGGAGGTGCAAAGCATTTCATTGCCTCTTTTTTTAGCTGCTGCTTTAGATCCTCAACAATCTTTTTTGTAGCTCCCAGTTCTTCGAGCACATCAAGTGTTTCTAGCTCTTTCACTATCAAATCCTTCTCCAACTCCGCAGCTTGTTCCTCAACTTTCTTTATGTCAAAATTTCCAATGCTGTTCTGCTAATGACAATCCTTTTTCGCATCAGAAAGTGAGCTAACATGGAACGTGTGAAGAGCTATTGCAAGAACAAGTCCAATTCATGGGTACCATGAACAAGTTAAAATCACCAGGATTTACCACTACAAAAGATACTCATAGATTTATATCAAATTTATAACAAGCACCTTATATATAAGTCATGAATACAAGTCAAGAACATGCTGGAGAAGACATTCCTGGCAGGGGCTAAATTGCATATCCACATTCTACACGTAATAATCCAGAATACAGATTTTGATTTTGATTTTTTTTGAAAAAAAAGAATAGATTACTACCTATTTTACAGCTATGCATGGACATGGATGATCCGGAAATTATATATATATATATATATATATATATATATAAATGCAACAGACAAGGGTTCAGGTTAAATTTGTACACGACATTGCCTCAAACATTGTGTATTTCACGATCTGATCTCATCCTGTTATAAACAGAAGTATAATTTTTGCGTGATCAATAGGAGCAAGTAAATCGTGGTTCGGCAATGATTGCGTCAGAGAAAAAATTAAATAAATGAATCTAACGATAACAAGAGGAAAAATTTATAACGTTAATGATGAACTTACAAAAGCCTCCCCAAGCTTGTAAAGGGGCAACCAAGGCCCGCTTCCTCCAAAATGGGTCACAGCCTCCTTGACCGACTCGAACGGTGGTGACGTATCGATTACAGCTCTGCAATTCACCATTCTTATCCCCGGACCTGGGTTCTCACCTGGCCGGGTCCCTGTTTCGGGTCTCGATTCCCTGATGACAGGCGTTCCCGGAACCCCTTCGGTGGCTGCTTCGTGGGTCTCGGCCATTGTGAGGAGTGCAAACGGAAGCGCAAAATTCAGAGGAGGATCCACGGTTAAAGGTGGTTAAAAGCTCATCGAGCTTGGACTTCCGAGAAAGAACCATTGTGGAATTTATGCAATACCGAGGAGATGTGATGATGATGTCTCGGGGCCGAGCCACGACTCAGTCGGAAAAAGAGGTGATGCAGGAACGAGTGAGGTGTGCGGGTCCACAAACACAACCACCATAGCCCACTCGGTGAGAAAGGTGAAAGCAGAGCGGGAAAGCAGAAAAGGGAAACGACAGAGGACGCTTTTGTGTTGCTGTGGACGATGATGATACTGTACAGCTGAGGAATTTAAGTTTGGATGCACTCTTTAACATGATTGGCTATTGAAAACTGGAGTCAGAGAAAGTGACTGGGGGTCATTAAGCCCGACGAACGAGATGATGCCATGTAAGCGAGCACAGGTGAGACTGAGGTCGTCATGTTTCCCGACCCTCCCTTGATTTGGAGCGCGATTTGCGGTTAAGGGAAAGCGTTGGAAATGTTGTGGTCACGGCTCACTTTTTGGCGGGGAAGCCTCAAACACACATATTATAACGACGACGTATTTCATGCCTTTCTTTCCCTTTCTCTTTTTACTTTTATTTTTGGCCTTTGAAAGGTACTCGGGCCCCCAAAGAAAAAGAAAAAGCTAATGGCTTTTTTTTTTTGGGATTACCCAAATATCTTCCGACCTAAACGGTAAGAAACTAATCTCTTAAAATATTGTCAGGCGTCGTAGTTGGGATTTCTCTTAACAGTGTTATTTTATAGACACCGTTTTAAGAATCGAACCCAAAACATGTTATTTAATATGTTCAAGTCCCTTCTACTTGGACCAATAAGTGTTGGTAAAGGTAATGGCTTTTATCACCCCTCTCTCTTATCCTTTATACGTCTTCACGTCTTAATTTGGTTCTGGCTCGGCCCTTTTTATTTTTATCTGATTTTATCATGGCTACTACGAGTGCTAAGAGACCTTAGATTTTGAATGAGATTAGAAGTAAATTCGAAATTAATTGATATGATATGATGTTAGTTAAAAGGGACGACAGTTGGCAAACCCAAAAAAAAAAAGAAAGTGACGATAATTTCAGTAATTGAATTTCAGGTTGATGATTTTATAAGAACAGTAGGTGACATAATTCGTGATGATTGATCTGCTCAGAGAAAGGGTGAGGAGAGAATGCAGGCAGCGTGGAGGTTGGGATGTCAGGCGGAGAAATGGAATCATAGTAGTTGTGATATGACATTAATTCAGATTGTTTCTTTATGTGAGAAAAGAAAAAGTATATAATTCACAGATCACTTGAGATCTAGCTAAAAAGGCCATGGATACACGCAGACCATAATTGATAACATGAATGACAGACTATAAGCCCTTCACGGCTACATTTTGTCTGGGAGACCCATATGTACTATCTATCCCATCACTTTGCGTATACTCATCAGCACATGACATAAGAAGCCAAGATAATGATTACAATCCATGTATCGGATATAAGTATTACAAAAAAGCTGTATTATTAACAAGTCATCAACTAGGATTAAGACATATATCTTAATTCCATTAGGTAATAGTTGCTCAGATGAACCGAACTAAATCAGAAAGAAGTGGACCAAACCACTGTCAATGGAAACTTTAAACACGAGGACCACCGTTCCAACAATAGCTGGGCTATTGTTTCGCGGGCATCCGACGCTTAAAAGATCTTAAGGCTATAACTCTCGCCCTACCCCCTTTTCCGTCTCTTAATTAATGTCTCATTATTTTCAGAATAAATCACTCAGACTTTATAAAAATACTAAAATTACATAGTTCCGGGGTCCCTGTTCTTTTCATTCGTGGAATCTTTGGACCATGAGATGTTCTCATCCGGAGCTGAAGCTCCAATATTCAATTCAGTGCAGTGGCGATTGGATTTGGGCATCCAATCGTTCAACAAGACCCTCAAAATCTTCGGCCCACAACTCCCTCTGTTTAGTCCGGGCACTGCATTGGCCCAACAACTTGGGACTCACGGCTTCTTATTTTCGTGGTTATTTGAAGCTGCTTATCATAAACATGGATAATGTTATAATATTCCTCTAATGTACTTAAATTATATACTGTCAATCACGGTTGACAAGTTACTTTTGAAACTTCTAATCACCATTCCAAACAAACCTTTAATTCATGAACTTTTTCTTTTATCCAACACTCTTTGTTGATCTATATGCAAGTAATTTAGTCGAAATACGCCCTAAGGAGATTTAGCCCACAATTAATATAAATTATGAAGCATGAGCCATGGGTTATTAGCTTCTTTCAGCATGTGTAAAATCATAGGAGTCAATCCCAGTGATTTTGTAATTCATTTTTAAATTAAAACATTGGTCATGTACAAAGTTGTTAGCGACGAATTGAATCCTAGGCACTACCGGTGTCCGACCATATATGCTGAGGTGGCTACATATATACGTCCTACATTTCCATGGAGTTGTAAAGAGCATATCATGAATCGTAATGGATATCCTAGCGCTACGTTGATGCTAGGGGTTCATTAGCTTTAACTTTGCATTTTTAATAAATAACCGATTTTAACTTTTAACATCAGTGAACTAGAGACGACAAACTAACTTTTAATTTGATAGATAAACTTGCTGAATCCGGACATATATCATAAATCGACACATAACACGAAAAGCACCATATATACTGTGGAGACACCAACCATATAAACTATAAGAGGAAAACACTGCTGTTATACATATGTTAAGGCACATAAAATAGGCATTACAGAAAAGAGCAGAGAGCAAAACAAAATTTTAAGAAAATGCAAATAACAACATATTGATAAGAGGAGCAGGAACATAGTAAATTAGTTGATCTTCCTACAATTCTTCCTGATCTCACCGTTGGAGCCGGTGAGGGGACTGATGTCTCCCATCCTGATCATGGCGGCCGCAAAATCAGAAGCGAAAGAGCGGGGGTTGCTGCTGTAGCCTCGCACGGTGGAATCAGCGGAGCCGCCATTGAAGAGCTGCTGGTCGGAGTGGAGGAGGCCCTTGTTCTGAAGCAGGTTCTTGAAGTAGTTGTTGTCGAAGGCTGTGGGAGTCTGCAGATCCAGAGGAGCCAGGTTGTTGTCTCCCGAACCCGATGTGCTCGGGCAGCTCGATTGCCTCGTCTTAGCGAAGCTGCTGTCTATGTTGGTCTCGTTGTAGATTCTGGCCCTGAAATTCGTGCACCTCGCCTGTCCAATTGTGTGAGCTCCTGTATATATAATGATGATCAATCTCGATGCATGAGTTTCACTCATTATAACCATAAATCTAGCTAAAAGAGAGGTAGATAGATAGATAGATAGATATAGGTATACCAGACAAGGCGACCAAGTCTTTGTTGGAAAGGCCGAGAGCGGAGAACCTTGAGATGAGCTGGGCGAGGCTAGAAGTGGGAGCAGGGATGCCAGTGTTTGCAGCAGAAAGGCTAGCGGTTTTAGCGTCTCTTCTTCCCAGTTTCACGTTCCATGTAGGGCCTCCAAGCTTCACAAATATATATTAATTTAGTTATCCAAATTTAAATATATTTATGAAGGAATGAAAGGGACGAGTTAGGCGGTGATTACGATGGTGACGGAGTCTCTGGCGGTGATGGCTAGGATGTCGGCGCAGGATACGACTCCGGGGCACACCTGCTCCACTGCCGACTTGATGGTGTCGATGACTTCGAATCCGCGAGCTGAGTTCCTGTTGGGGATGGCATTCTTCTCGCCGGTGAAGCTTGACGTGTCATCCAGAAGAAGGGAACCGTCACATCCCTGCATTTCATCCAATCACAAGTCAAAGATCTCAGAACAGTCATCAGGTGGAAATATATCGAGACAGCATATATTTCGGAAATTATTGGCTCCTAGCTATTGGGTCACCCAACTCAAATTTCAAACATATTGTCTAGTCACCCTATCTTCCGGTCCATTACTGTCAAGATCTAGTTAATCATGTTGTCATAAAATTCTGTCATCAGAAAAGAAACTTTTTTTTGCCGGCAAGTTGGCCAGAGTAAATAATGCTTGTGGAAATGATACTATTGTTAAGAATAAGAGGCATGCATGCATGGTTAGAAAATAAGACAGGAAGGGACGGAAGAGTACATTGACGAAGCAATCGTGGAAGAAGAGGCGAAGAAGAGAAGCACCCATGCGGGCTTCCTTGGAAACGGCAGACTGGACGGCGGACTTGACAGTGGGAAGGAGTTTAGGGCAAGAAGACGAGTAGAAGTTGGTGGAAAGCTGTGCATTTGCAGTGCCCAGCAGGAGCAGCACCAGCACAGACACCCGCAAGCTCATGCATGATGAAGCCATTATTGCCAAGTGCCTCTCTAATCAGAGAAGTACGTTGATATGGTTGTGTTGTGGGGTTAAGGTGTGGGAGTGGGGTGGCAGATTTATAGGGGATGGTGGAGGCTCGTCACCGTCAACTCAAATGTCTCGGGCTTGCGGTGGGGCGGCAGGTCACCTAACAGGCAGACTATGGTCGCCTTAATATAATGCATGAAGGTACGTATAAATTAAAGAAGGCGATCATTTTTTCCACGTCTTATTAATTGCGATGCGATGCCTTCCAGTACAAGTAGAATTTTCTTTGCATTTGTTCCGTCCGACATGCCCAGGGCCGACCCGCGTCCTTCTTACTGTGCCCGCCACGATTTGTCAATGTGGATGCGAGGTGGGGAGCTGCGTAAACTCTTTGCCCACTGATGACAGGGCCCCACACTGCCACCCCATCTTATAATAAATCTGTTGCCAATATTTGACTGCTTTTGGTTTAGGAAAATTCCACGAGTGAAAGGGCCATGTTAGTTATACGTCTATGGGACCTTCATCTCCGAAAGTAGCTGTATTGCTTGTTTGGTAAATTGAGCTACGCGTGTTTTACTTTGCCGTCTGAATGCGTTGGTCCAAAAGAACACAAACCAAGATTCCCCACATTTTTTCCACGCGCCAATCCATAGGCCCTCCTTTTACTATGTGTTATTGCCTTCTCGCTGCTAGTTGCCTGCGCATCTAGCTAATTATTTACAATCATGGGAACTGCGTCCACCACAAGTAAGAGAAGCTTCTCATCTTTTGTTTTTTTCTACTGAATTAACATGATCCGCTAGATTTATTCGGTTGTATTGTCTCAGCTTCAAAATAGAATAGGTAGTTGACTAATTTAAGTAAATTAAAAAAATAAATTAAATCAGTTGTTTGTAATAAATAGGTATTATCTTTCTTAAAATATCATTGCCAATCGTATTTATTGGTTAGAACTACTATTATTAGAATGATTATATTAAAAATAAATAAATAAACATGAGAGATAAAGTGAATTAGTATCTTATATTTAGGATCAATATAAGAATTAAACAAGTTTCTTATACTGAGGATGAGAGGCAGTACTGTCTATAACCCTGCACCCGTAATACCCAGATGACTAATCATTATTCAGTAGAATTAGTCTTTGCCACTTTCAGCCGTGAACCTCCAACCAAATTTTTTGTCGATTTCATTGTTTAACTCTGACCACAACCTTGCTATCCTGCGTCATTCCTTTATATCAGTTGATGATAAATATTAACGGAATCGCACTTTCCGTAATTACTTTCCATGTGTGTTCCGCTTTGGGACGACACTTAAAAGAGACATTCCCTCACTGTTCGTCGTCGTCGCCAATTACAATTATTTAATTTGCGGTTCTTAACGATTTTATCTGACTTCCTCCGCCCGCGCGCCTAACTTCCATTTTTATTTTTCCTTGGAGCTGGTAGAGTCAACTCGAGCACACATCAGGCGGGTATACTTCAATATTGTCCAAAAAAATTCATTTTCTTTTTATCTTGATTATTGAGTATTCAACATATATCGATGACGGGTCGGGGTTTTATTTATTTATTTATTTCTGTTACATTTTTCTTTTCAACAAAACAACAATAACCAATGGGTTTTATTAGGACCAACAATGTTTGAATTCCAATAGTACATAATTATATAAATAAATAATATTTTTTATTATGAAAAGCTCGTGTGTGACTTGTGTTTAAAAAAATAATGCTTGTCGAGTAAAAATTACATGAGCAACAAGATTTGAACTGTCACAATCCTTACTAAGCTGGCTACGAACAATTATCAATTAATAGCAGCGTAAGGATCTGCAACCAAATAATCGCATCAGTTTGACTTCGACATCTCCCGCAAGAGGTTCAGGTATGGCCACATCCTCCTCCTATCCTCCGCTCGTTTAATTCTTTCTCCCGCAAAATTTATAAACATACACTCTTATATATCCGTTCAGAACCTCTCTTTTTTCCTTCCCATCTTCTTTTTTTTTTTTTACCATTAGATTAATATTTTAATAGTTCAAATTTAAATTTTTTTAAAAACTATTATTAAAATATTAAATTATAAGAATAAATAAATAATAAATTGTAATTATATTAAAATTTAATTCTAATGATTTACAAGTGCTTAAATGTTTTTAAAAATTTTTTATAAATAGTTCATAAAAAATTAAAATTTAAACTGTTGAAATATGTTCATCTAACGGATAATAAAAAAAAAGAAAGGGGATGAGAAGGAAAAAGAAGAGACTCCAAACTGCTTATATATACGCAAACGTGGCTTAAAAAGCGAAGCGAAGGGGCATAAAAAAAGAGAAATAATTAATCAGCCCCGTGGCCTTTGCGATATTTGAATTCGGATGCTGCGGGGTCTGTGTGACGAATTAAATCTCTTTGTTTTTGGAATATCTCTCCCTTTATTTATTTTTTTTCCCGCAGAGAGACGTGGCCTTCGATTCAAGTCTCTCTTCCGCTCCAATGGATCAAGTCTATCTCAAGTCCACTCCTAATGACGATTTAATTAATCAAGTCTCGCTGACGGATTTTTTTAAATCAATAAAAATTCGCTGAATATGAAAAATGACCACTGTAGAGTTTCAAAGTAGCATTAATGCTGTCAGCTGAATATGCTGTCTTTTTCCAAATCACACTGCCAAAAGTTCGCACTGATAAATAATCGGCTCCTCTTAGCAGCAAATTTCGACTCTTCATCTCAAACAGGCGCTGCTACTTTCTCAATCAACGTAAAATGAGTCAAAAGAGTTCCGCATCTCATTCTTTTAGAATTGTGGGACCTCCATAGCCATACGACTCAGCAAAAGTTTATTTTAGAGAAAATGACATTAAAAAAAAAAAGGTTAAAAATTGCAATATTCTAGTCCAAAAACCTAAGAGGTTAAAATCCCAAGAGAGAAAGTGGTGCATGATCTGGTTGTTTACAAATCTAGTCAAATAATTAAAATACCCTTGTATCATTTTTATTAAAAAAAACCCTATTAAACTTGTCATGGGTTGTTCAATACTTGTTATTGTCAGTTTACAACTTATTAATAAATAATTTGTTATTATTAGTACATTGTTTGTTATTTGTTGTATGATACTTGTTATTACCGGTTCACAACTTGTTAATAAACTATCTGATACAAAGACATTATTGTCTTTTAATTACATTTGCAAAATATCATTTTCTTTCCTGAAATTTTGACGTCTAAATTGAAATATTATAATTTTTAACTTTTTTAATGTCATTTTTCCTTAATTTTATCATGCATGCATGTGGCTAATATATATATATATATATATAGTGTATAATATTCACTTCGTGTATCAGGAAATAAATAAGATTAATTAAGTGCTGACTACACAAGACGCAAACGCAACGATTGAAGGTCTGATTCATGGAAAAACTAACAACAAATATAATAAAGATAAAGAAATGAAAAGGGTTGTTGAGTCCCAGAAAATTAAAGGGACGATTGGGTGTTGAGTAATGCTCTTTCAAACATTGACTTAAAAGAAGTTAAATTTTTTTGTCTTGCTAAACCATAGGTACTTCTTATTGGAGATAATCTTATTCGAGACACTGTCGGGTACTACTAATGTGGATACCTCTCCCAGTGAGAATTTGAACCTTGGTTCGTTACGTTGTGAGGGACTAGCTCTTTCTGCTAAACCCAATTCTCGTTACTAAAAGAAGTTAAATTATATCAAGAGAATGAAGACAAATTATGTATAAATGGACTCTCTCAGCTAAATGGACGCTCATTCGCATCCATATCTCTCTCTTGCAAATCCATCAAGTTGATGCTCACAAAAAAGCCACCAAATTAGGAGCAATTATCAAGAGTGGAAGCCCAACTAGCTATCCTTTCAAGTTGGCGCCTATCCAGCTCTTGCGCCATCCCTCTGTAACTCGTTGAACTTAGGCAGCACAAGCAACTGCTACAGCTATGAGTTGAGTGGCAAATCCTGTGTGCCCCGCCTCTGAAGCAATGTGTTTCCTCTATGGTTACAACTGTTCGACGCACGTATGGTAGGAAGTAATGGTCGTAACGGGGCACTGAGATGAGTATAGTGAGCACCACTGAGGCTACGGGAATGTGGAATTTTGAACCTCGGATTCTCTCCAGGTAGTGCCTTGCCTCGCAAAACTAATCAATCCAGTGGCTCAGAATTTGCTGGGAATTAGCATCAACGGCCATATCTTAAACATCCCTTGAATAAGCTTGGTTCCTTCCACTCGAGTCACTCTGCATGCTGAGACGTCTCTTTTGTTTTCACCAAAGATAGAAAGACATATCAGAGCCATTCCGAAGAAGTTCTGTTTTTTCCACTTCAGTCACAGGGCATGGCAACTTTGAGCTTGAGGTACTCAAGCTGCTGCTTTTGATAGCAACCTTGTTCAGAAACCTACGCAAACGAAACTGTTCTGTTATTCATGTGATAAAAGGATCGTTATTCACTATCAAGTACAGCCGTAGCCTCAAAGCCAACCCCTCTATTACAGAGACCCTTGTTTTTCGTAGGCTTTTCTGCATACTGGTTTATCTTTCCACTGACGAATTGCTCTGGCACCGAAAGAACGCTGGCCTCTTGCGGCGATCCCACCAGGGCATTCTCCGGAGAATAAAGCTAGCAAGTTCTGATGACGCAACCACATAAAATATACAATGATCTGTAATTGATTGACCTCTTCATAATGGATGTTGAAAGTTGCCATCAAAACCACTACTAACGATACCCCATGTTGTTAAACAGAGTTCCTATTTGATGCAGAACACGACGAACTGATTAAATTTGTTGGGAAGGCACGTAATGCGCTCATAACGTTGCATGCACGAAAAGAAATCTTCTGATTAAATTAAAGAGAGTACAATTTCCCCTAATAAGGAAGATAAAAGTTTTCCATTAGCCAGTTTTAGAGCCAAGCCAGGTCGTTTTCTTTGGTATAATTATTGAGCTCTAAACCTGACCTTCCATGGAGAATAGTATGCGACTTTATGGAGTGCAAATATCCTTCACAAACCATGCAAGGAAGAGCCAGCAGGCAATCGGGTCACAGATTGTCGCTTCAAACAATATTAAGAATTCGTCATTTCAAATTTCCTTTCTTCTTTCCTCTCTTTTTAATTTTCGAAACCTTTAATTTGTGCATAAAAATTAGTAAACAAACAAATTCATATGTGGTTATGTGATGTACGAGTCCATTTCTAATTCGGAATACCTGTCAGAGCTAAAATCTCGCAGGAAACACATAACTAACATTTTTTATATAGATATCCTAACTAACAAGTGACAAGACATTTGCCACACCCAAAGAAAATATTACCGCATCACGTTGGCACTTGATATATGATTAGCAAGACAAGGAAAACAATCGTTTAAAAGAAAAGGTCGTACACATATTTTACAAAGGCATTATAGATGGCGCATTAACTTGGCCTGCCGTTCTTAGGTTTTTATACTTGTAATCCTAGAGACGCGTCCAATGTAGGGTTACCCTCCATTTCACCGTCTTTCACCGTTGCGGTCTCTCTCTTGTAAATGAATCGATTTGATGCCCAAAGAAATGCCCCCAAGTTCATGCTTGATGTCACCAACAGGAACCCGTAATAGTAATCCAAGTGACTATCATTTAAATTATCACCTATCCAGCTCTTTCTCTCACCCATTCCAGTGATCTTGTCAACCATTGTTACCAGGAAGCTGTTCAAGAAGTTCCCCACACCAATCCCGCTTGTGAAGAACGTTGTCCCCAGACTCTGCATGTCGTCGGGGGATTGATCATAGAAGAACTCAAGCAACCCAATGGCATTGAACACATCCGCTATTCCAATCAGAACGTACTGAGGCAATAGCCAAAATATGCTCATAGGGACTATTTCTTTAGGACCTAGTACGTGATGTGCTCTTATCATGCGCATTCTCTTAACTTCAACTGCGTAAGCAATTGCAATGGCCACGATTTGGATTGAGAATCCAATTCCAAGCCTCTGAAGAAGGGTGATTCCTCTGGGGTTGCCAGTTTTCTGGCGCATGAATGGCACGAAAAAACGGTCATACATTGGCACAGAGAGGAGCATAGAGAGGGTCACAAAACTACCGAGAGAGGCTGCTGGGATCCGAAAGTGGGGACCAAGGTTTCGGTCCAAGGTTGTGCCTTGTTTTACAAATAGAGTGTTGATCTGTGCCCAAATAGTACTAGGAACCAGTGTTACTAGCCATATCAGCAGCATGCCTAATACAAGCTTGGCTCCCTCCACTTGCGATACCGTCATTGGCGTTGTAGAGGAACCTGTGCCGTTTCCCTTTATTGCAGCCTTGTCCAAGAACCTGGAGTACAAGTTGCAATCACTTAGCCCATTGTTTCTCTCAAGGAATTATATATCTTGCAGAATGATGCCAAAAAATTGTCATTGTTTCAGTGAGTAATTCTTAGGAGTCAAATGGTTCATAATGTAACGCATCTGTTCCCCAGAATACCAATGGAGAACAGCGTGCTTGATTACATGCAATATCTTAGATTCGTGGTAAACTGTGGTGTTTCGTTTATTTGAAACAGAGGTGGGTGGGAGAAGGACACAAATTTAACATTTCCTGTGCTAGAGCCAACTTGGCTGGAAGACTGTGAAAGAGTTGAATTGTGCCAAAGAAGTACCCCTACCACTCAGAAAGAGCTAACTCCACCCTTTGTTTCAGATAGTGGGTTTTCATTTATGCAGATAGTGATGACACTGTAGCAAATAACTCCCTTGGAGATCTATACCTCATGAAGGACAAGTAATACAGGGTGGAGTTTGGAATCTTTTATGAAGTGGATCATTTTCTTGATTTCATGTAACAAGTTGATGTGTCAGATATACAACGATGACGAGAATGCCGTTCTGATTTCCTTTTTTTTTTGGGGGGGGGGTTTGGAATATTTAATACTTATGTAGTGGATCAAACTTCATTATTATTATTTATTCCCGTATGCCCCCACTAGTAGAATGAGCAGGTAAGCTGAATTAATATTAAAATGGTCCCAAACCAGCCCCCTACCACTTACATCACGACATAGATTTTGCCTACTTCTCGAGAATGCGCAGTGCAAACAGATTAAGCCCCAAAAAAATTAAAAATAATCATTGTACTCACCTTAAAACTGGGGTGTGGAAGATTTGCCGTTTTCCGCTAGTGATGTAATGTTGCAGCTCCAGCTCATGAAGCTCAGAGGGGTCATTAGGAAGCTGAAGTTTTCTGTTCCTGAAGGCAGCAATAGGGACACGAAAGAAGTCCTTGGCGGGACTTTTGGTGGTCCTGACTTTGTGGCGGTATATGGGAGTTCCTACGTAGAAAATAACAAGGGACAGGATGAGACCAACTGTTGGGATAGCATAGCCAAATACCCATCCCAAGTTCTCTTGAACGTAGACCAGGCCTAAAGTTGCTATTAAAGCGCCCAAGAATGAGGTAAACATCCACCAGTTGAAGAAGGAGGCCTTAATCTCTTTCTCATTGGGATTGAAATCATCAAACTGGTCAGCACCAAAGGTTGAAATGTTGGGCTTTGTTCCGCCTGCTCCGATTGCTACGGTGTACAGAGCCGTGTAAAAGAATGCAATTTGTGAGGCAGAAGCTTTGTTGCAGATGCCATTGTTGCATGTTGGCTTCAAGCTCTTGAGTGATACAGCTATTGTAAGCAGAACCATACCCTGTGTAGAGGTACTAGTGCATGAGCTTTATGCTTTGCTGATTGAACAGACATACATATACATGATAGGATTATGAAAATAAAAACAAATAAGAAGGTAAAAGGGACATTTTGTCCTACTCAAATCTGAGGAAAATAAGGACACACTCGAGGACGAGAAGAGGAGTTATTTTGCATTTCCAGATTAGATATCTCGGTTTCTGTATGTCAGTGGTTAGAATTTGGGGATTCACTAGCTTACCAATGCATAAATGAGAGAGGACACGGTGAAAGTCCAAAAGCGACCCAAGTAAGAATCAGCTATGTAAGCACCGAGAATTGGCGTTATCCAAACGGATCCTGACCAGTTATTCACGTTTCGAACTGATGAAACTGTGTCTTCATGAAGTTGGGTCGTAAGGAAGTTCACCAAGTTGGAGGCGACGCCATAGAAGGCCATCCTTTCAAATGCTTCGTAGCCTGCGGTAACATTATGCCATGTGAGCAAGGCACAACAAGACACTAATCCATCATCACTTATCAAGCTAATTAAATTCCACAGAAATCACCGTGAACACATTTTCACAAGCACTATGGAGACTACAAAATGGACTATTTTGCTTCATGCGTAACGAGCTCTCGTGCATTCAGACTCTAGTAAACAAAATAACATGGAGATGTATAGTATTAAACACGCATGGGATTGGATAAAACACATTTTCCTTGCTCACCCCTCTCTCAGTCAGAGCCCAAGTAATGAAACAAGACTCCACAAGATTCAACAGTAGTGAAATTTCTGAAGTAGGTACGAAGAATGATTTAAACAGGGACCATATTTGAGACGGCCAAACAAAAAAAAAAAAAAGAAAGTAATATGTGCTTACCAACAAGGAAAGCGCAAGCCTTCCATTTTCCAGTTTTAGAAGGAATTGCAGGCCTGCCACGAAAGTCGACAGTACCATCCTGGGTATAATCTACTTTGGCTTCCATCAGAAATCTTTTAGTATATGTGAGTGAAAATAAAATGGACTAATTCACGAGAGATGGAGAAAGCACTTGCTGAGGAATGCGGTGGTGGTGGGCATATATATAGAGCGAAAGCCCTCACTGTGGTTTGCTTTCGAGGAAAAGACATGAAGTTGTCGTGTCAACTATTTACTGGCTAAAAGAGTTATCCTCGGATGTCATTGCTAGATGCCCTCGTTTATTTGCATGGCTGTTAATTTGTTCTGTCCAATAAAACGCCACTTTAATTTGGAAAAAAAATAAATAAATATACATTTTTTTAAATATAAATAATGATATCCATCCACTTTTATCCTTTGTAATTACTAAAAGAGAATGCTTATATCAAGTTGAGGGAACAAGTGCTTATCTGAACTATTTCTTCCGACAAAGGAATATTTACATGTAATGAATGGTGGTTCTGGATTCCAGGTGTGTGAGTGCACCACATGTAATTGTTCCATCCCAATCCGTTGATTTGGTTCATCGGTTAATAATTTGTCATGTATCTCTATTTTCTAAATTAAAAAGAACAGATGAAGGTGCAGTATTCTGATGGACGGTATGGTTCGGAACCATGTAAAAGTATTATTATTAGGAGTTTAAAACAGCGCTTTATTTAATTTCCAACTTCTCATAGCTAGGGACATGAGCAGCAATAAGCCATATATATTGACCTGGATGGTAATCTTAACCAAACAAATACATAGTTCTGCAGACTTATTGACCTGTTAGGTGCAGCAATAATAACGAAAATGAAGCATCTGAGAATTTGGACCAGTAATACTATTATATACAAATATACCTACACGTATGAATAGTCGAATATACATGCTGTTTCTCCCTCGGATCCATCAAATAAAAAACAAAAGAAAAGGAAAAATGAAGACAGTATAATAAGCAATTCAATGCGGAAAAAAATGACAAAAACAGTGTTTAGATAAGAACAAAACTATAATTTCAGAAATGTTTTTACGGTATATAAAATAAATATATGAAGGAGTTCATCTCAACTTATAAAAAAATGCTTCTAAAAAGTGATTATGGGATGTTCTAAACACCCCAAGAAGCATTGACCAAGGATGTGAACAAGTCTATAAACCACGAGTTTAGGTTAACCAACGTGCTCCTTCCACGAATAACAATGATGACATGACACAAAAAGCTTTGTGGCCACGTCACCTCATAAGCTTCCAAGACGAGGAGGAGGAGGAGGAGGAGGACGAGGGGTACCCATTTGAACCTTCACTGTCATTATCACCGCCTTATCATTACATGATAACACTGTCTCACCGACGCGTCTGCTTCTATGCTTCCAATATTTCTATATGATGAATACGTTAATTTACAGCTCTGCAATTCACACTTGGCCCCCATTTTCTTCCCCGTCTTTTCTCACAGGATGCCAATCTGGCTTTTAAACAGACACCCTTCGTTTTCACAACGATCATTATAATTACGGCAATAAAATTAATGGTGAGATACTGCCTGTGCGCTCCTGTGTGATTGAGATCAGTAAATCCCAAACAAATAACCTCAGAAAAATCTTACTTATATTTGTTCATAAAGGAATCGGGAAGAATATTCAGATAGCAAGATCCTGTTGCTTCGTCATAATTCCAAAAAGTCACAGTACAATAAATCTGCTTATGATGACCTGTATTAATCATATCTCGCTGTTCCACTTCCACCCCCCACCATCGAGCTTTCCCATCATTCCAACTCAGAAGTCACAACGACCCTCGCTGTATAGGTGTTAGAGGTACGATCCAAAGGGGTACAGTGGACCACATATGGTCTGTACAAAGATTACCGTTCCGATCGAAGAGGATCAGAGCTTTGACGGGCTGACCTGATATTTTCTCTTCTTTTTCTTGAAGCTCTGAGATACCAAGATATATATATATATATGTATGTATACGTATATGCAGTTGCGAACTGCTCCAGATAATTCTGACCTTGGAGTAAAGGTTTATAACTATCTTGAAAGCACTGTAATGTACACGCGAGACATTTAATGGACTGCCCACTATCCTTGCATTGCCATAATGCCATTAGACAAAAATCAGTGCAAAGTCAATACTGTGTCCTTTATTCAATTATTAAAGTCGACGAATCCAGCTGCTGTACCGCGACAAAGAAGGAGGCGAAAAAATCAAAACCTTGTCCTTGTAATGACATTTAATTTCTCATTCAAAACCGGGCATCACCGATTTTTGACTATTCCCATGGAGGAGAAACATCTGAGGGCAGAGAGGGTGTTAAATGAGGCTATCCACAGATTCCGATAAGATGAACAAATACTACAATAAGAAGTTGCATGGGAGTGAAGGCAAATACCTTAGATAAACCTTCCCGAGTGCGAAGCCCCATTGGACTTGCATGGTCCTAAACCTACGTCTCGTGCCGTCTGGGGAGCGGAAACCACAGAAAGAGACGGGAGGCGACCGCTTGTGATGCCCCTCACATTAGAGTACGACACGCGGAGCTTTAAAGCCCCACCCACTAATTACATTGTCTCAGAGGCTAGTCCCGTAGCTCCCTCCCTAGAGGCCGGAGACAGTCATGTGCTCTCAGTCAACATTGAGATTTCATTTCACATTCACAAGCGCACTCCACAATGACCCCCCAAATCTAGTACGGGATTAAAGTAGCTGAGCTAGATACGCCTCTATTATTGGTCGTTTGCAGTATAATCCCTACACAGTGTCATAGCTGTATTTGCATAATGTGCTTCCATGAAGAGTCGAAGAGGCAACACAGTTCACAGCGGCTCTCTCTCTCTCTCATGTTTAAGACAATGATAATAAGAGGTAGAGTAGTTAATGTCAGAATCGATATCATTATAGACGGGGGTGTTAATCTGATATTATGGCGTGACGGATATGTTGCAATAATGGGGCGGAGTGTTAATCACAGTGATCAGACTGAGATTTGGGCCATGAAGTAGTGGGTGCGACTTGCAAATTGCGAGGGAATTGAAGATGGTGACAAAAATTGAGGCAACAGTGGAGAGGTTGACGGCATCCTCACTCATTTGTCTAGGAATCTTCAGTGATACTTTTGCACGTGTGAATCACCTGGCCCATTCGTTGCCGGGACGTGTGGCCCGTCGTGAGTGGCGGCAGTGGGGGGCCTAGTGTGGCGTGTCATCCCAAAAGTGGAACACCGCCCAGCAACATGTTACTGTACATATGTGACTGTTATGATCAGTTGATCACTGATCCAATGTATCTGGATTCTGGCGTCCCCTGGCTGTGTCATACGTATATGCAGCCGCCCGCCCATTCCAAAACATTCTAATAAATACTCTATATATATATATATACATACACATATAGTTCCACCCAGATTTTACGACCTATGTTCTTTTAGAACTGCATCATGCCATACATATCAGTGACTCTTGGCATCCCATACTTCTGTGCGTGTCACCTCCTGTGAATGTTATTAATTGGTTTGTTATCATGCCTAAATACTGACATTGTCTGCTGTATCACCTATATTTCTGCTCACTTGCGAATTATTGATGCATATTCGGTGGCTCAGAGCGACCATAAGTGTGCATAATCTTTCGTCAAACAGGAACTAATTCATTACCACCACGGTAAATTTTTTCTTCTCTACACGCTGCATCTCCAAAGTGGGTACGTGTAATCACTTGAATCATAGCTCAATAACAGTTTTTTTTTATTTAATTAAACCTTGTTTCATCCGTAGGGCAGGGTGGAGGCTAATTTTTAGCGCGTTATTCTTATTGAAGTGATGACATTTTACGCATTATACTTGTCTAAAATATATCACCAAATCCAAAATTATTCTGTGGCGGGATTTTGCATGAAATGTAAAACACGGAAAGGTGCAAATGGAAACGGTAAAAATATTAGTAGAATCGCATGCCAAATCGAGTATTGCATTGACGTTGATATTCACTAACGTATGCAGTGTAGTTTTGTGTGTAATCTAAAATGTAAAATGTTGAATTTTAAAATTTACAATAAATCCGTAAAACTTATACAATATTATTTTATTTTAATTATTTATTTCTTTTTATGAGAATGTAGCTAGCTAACTCTTTCAGTTTCTGAAATCTAAGCATATTCTACTAGAAGCCAAATACAATGAGAAATCGACCTCTATATATTATGCCTGTTAATTAGCGAGTAGTAGGGCTGAGCAAGGTGCTTGCAACGTGCTGAACGCGCCTAGGCCCTGAGACAATTTGTCCATTTAGGCCTGCCAAAAAAAAAAACTCATAACAAATGAGTGGGTTCTTGCATTGAATGGGCGGGCTAGGGTACACTCCCGAGTTGCTCGTACCTGCTTGTATATATATTGTTTGGTTTTCTTTTATATATAACTTTCTTATAATATGTTATTTTTTGACACGGGTTTAACTTCTAACTTTAGATGATGTGATGAAGGGCTTGTTTTTCAAACATATTCGATTCTCACCACGACCTCATCTGAAAGGCTGAAACTCATCTTTATTTAACAATTTTTATGTCATTTTTTTAACAATGATTACATGAAAATTTTCAAAACCCATTACAATTTACACATTCCAAAAAATCTAAACCAAGTTCCCCTTTTACTCTCGCACGAAGATGCCAAACGCAAAAACCCCCACCATCTTTGCACAGCGTTACCCAGCTCCATCATGAAAACGGCACCACCGGCCCTTTGCTTGCTATTGACCTCATCCTCCCTCTACGCCTCTGCCTTTAGTTCTTCTTTTTCAGTCGTAAGTCTTGTAATCGAGTCTTTGGATCCGTTCTCCCTCTATGGCCTGTGTCTCTACCTTTTGTTTCAGATTTCATTCTTCTTCATGCTTTGTGAGACTCTTTACTTCCTCCACCATTTTCCCATCTCCTTCTTTCTTCCTTTCTCTTTCTAATCTGTAAATTTTTATCTTGATTTGTTTATTAATAAGCTTGAATATAAATTAATTTGATTGCGTCGGTGAGGGGCTGAGTGATAAAGAAGATGAACAGGTTCGTCTAGATTTTCAAATCCTAAACAGGTTTCTCATAACC